GTCTAACTAGTGCTGAATTGAAAACCTTTCAGAATAAGTGTATTCAAAGAATCAATACGTTTACATGAATCGTAAATTTAAGGTTCTACACACAATATCACCTTAAAAGCTTAAATGTGATATTCTGTGTGTAAAAGAGTTTCTACCGGTACACCTTAACTTCCACAACAAAATTTATAAAAAAAATAGTAAGGTGTTAAAGGGGCATTAGCTACTAATTCGACAAAAAAATAAAATATATATTTCTTTCGTTTTAATCATTTATAAGAGCGAAATAAAGATTAAATATTTCGCTATTTCAATAAGTTTGGTTCGATTCCGTCAAAATACGCTAAAAAAACACCACGTGCATTATTGACATCAACTCATTTAAATCCGAATTCATCTAATCTTTAATTATACCTTTACGGGAGATGGGTTGCGCATATATTCAACACGTGGTGGTCAGCATGTTCATTCATTATGTCAACACTGAAAAGTGAAATAAGGGAGAGGCCAACAAAATTCGTTCTTATACAGGTAAAACAATGATTTACATATACTTTTAACCTTTAACATGAAATTAAACAGTCCTAGAAAAATCCGATTGCACGTGCTCGCTATCTATTTAGATTAATTTGTATGTTTATATCGGGTTATATGGCCGTTGGCAGTCTTCTGTGTCATCTCAATGGACAATTAGATCATAGATGGCGTGTAGTCTGAAATACGTACGAAATGCTGACACATTATAGCGAGCCCATGCATTGTTAGTTTCTTTTGGAAGTTCTGTAATTTGGATATAAGTTTTAGTATGTTATAAATAAAATAGGAGAATTTTGGTAAAATCGGTGAACATAAATTTGACAGCTAATGCCCCTTTTAAGTAATTTGTGGTAACGAAATCACTGACTTATTATAATAATTACCAGTTACATATAGATAAAAGTGCATTGAAATCTAAACCATCACAACCGACACAGACATAGCATACGAACTGGGAAAAAAACACACCATAAGAAGGGGCTAAAGAAACATCATCGTCAAATAAAAGTAAATAAACAAAGGAAAAGAAAATAATTGATCAGCACTAATTTTCGAACTCATCAAAGACATTGCTGATATAAACCTATGATATAAGTTTCGTAAAATTCTGGCAAGAATTGTACACATGAGAGCGCTAACGATGCAACTTTCCATATAATCAAAATTTCCAAGGGGAATAACTCTTTTAAAAATTATTGATCCACACTGATTTTCGAACTTGTCCAAGACATTGCTCATATAAACCTATGATATATGTTTTAAAAAAATCGGGCACGTATTGTACACATGAGAGCGCTAACGATGCAATTTTCCCTTCAATGAATGTTTCTAAGGACCATAACTCTATTAAAAATGATTGATCAACACTGATTTTCAAACTTGTCCACCTGAGCGCGCTAACAAGACATGACGGATGCCCAGTATTTCTATGTCCCCCACAACACGTTACACGGGGGCCAATAAGATTGTAGTGTAGAAGGTTAAATATAGATTCTTACATCGGTACCAGTGGATTATCGGATTTATCCAGTTGAGATAGTTAAATTATTTAAGAAATGAATGCTTCTTTTTGTAATTTTATTGGGGTGTAAAAGTGTTGACAGAAGCACATTTTGTTCTGCGCTTCATTTTAAAAATGCATGCACGATCAACACTTTTACAACCCTATCAAATTACTAAAAGAAGCATTCATTTCTTATAATTACATTTTTATGCTAAGACCATGAAAAAAAAGTTTTATCAAGTTTTTATTTTATTTACCTGTGCAGTTTTTTGTGGAAGCACGAGACATCACGAATGTAACATTTCATTTTGATATGAAGGTTAATTTTTGAATGACACAAGATTGTTGTTAGCCAATCAAATTAATGGATTCTCATGAAACATACATGTAATGTAATTATTGCATTTTAATGTTCGAGCCTCAGTGAGGTTTTAAAAATTGATAATTTAACTATCAAGATTGGATAAATCCGATAATCCATAAAGTCCAAGCCTCGGCGAGGTCTTAAACATTGATAATTTAACTATCAAGATTGGATAAATCCGATAATTCATGAGTAACTATGTAAGAATCTGTTTCTCTAATGATTATCAAATAAATATTCATTTTTGATAAACAAAAATCCCCTTCAAGTGCCTTCCACGTTCCACAAAGTTGTCAATTTTATTAACACCTGTTAGCACATTTTGATTCATCCAGTGAGCTGATAAAGGTTATGACCCTTAAACTCATCCAATCATCCTCTGAGATCATCGACAACCACAAATAGCAAACCAAGTTTGGTGAAAGTTTGTTATATGGTACAAAAGACTACATCTGGAAACCAAATTTTTGCATAAATTTCACACCATCAATAGCTACTGCAAACTTAAACTGTGATCTTTTGACCAAGAAAATCATAGGGACTTTCACAGACAATGGGACATTATCAAATTAAAACGTGCTTGAACATACGGTTTAGATAATATCTGGAAACCGAAATTTCAGTTTAGCAAATTAATCATATTATATATATATGTCCAACTTGGTTAAAAATTTGCAATTAGCATCTTTCATGAGTACTGTATGGCACAAGGCTCTTTCCACATAAAAGTAGATATTTTCTGTTGTTAACCTTATTTAAGCACACACCCAAATTTGCTCGTTTTTAACATATTGAACAAAGGTTTGTTTTCAACATTTTATCCCCTGACAAGCAACAAATTATTCCCAATTATGGCAAAAGTCCCTTGGCATAATCTGGCCAGGTATACTAAAAATAAAATTTTGATTAACAAATAAAGAATAGGCACAAAACACACTGATATGTTACAAATTTATTATTATTTGTACAGTGCAATCTGTACAGCATATACAATTCATGTACATTTGAACACATTTATTATGTACATAATGAGGGATAAACCAGCTAATATCAACAGCTATCATCAAACATACTAACAAAGCTTGTCATATCGACCCTCATCTTGTCATGAATGTATGCAATATTTCAACAGACAACTTAGTTCAACAAGGAAGGAACATTAATAATTTTAATACTAATGGCATATTTAATGAAAATCAGCTTTTTTCAAGAAGGTAAGGGCATATCATATTTGATCACATTGTAAAAATAAAATTAAAAAAATAATTGAAGTAAAAATATTTATGCAAACCAGAGAAATAAACTCTGACTAGAGGTATTGTGCAATGACCTAACAAATTCCTTCCCCCACCTCACCTTGTAAATGACAGAGGCCAATGTGTCTACAACTTTCAATGAAATGTCTCAAACAATCAGAGAAGTTAATATGAATAGTTGTAAAATCAGCTCCTTCGTCATAAAATATTTAAGACCATTGTTTCACTTTGACATGTGAAACTAGAATTAAATTTTTTTTCTGTATATCGCATAATATTTTTTCTATTTCTTTGCAACTGATCAAACTGTCTTGTGTAAGCTGAGCTCTCTATGCAAAGCAGCAAAAGAGACTGTTACAAATAGACAGCGCGAGTACTGTGTTTTCCTCAACAATTTTTGAAGAGAATACCTTCACATTTAAATTCACACTAAAATTGGTTTTAATTCAACAATGCTACTGGTTTCTGAGTGTTGACCTCATGATGTCTATGGTTCTTATTTGCATTGTTGGGTTGTTGCCTCATTGATGTTCATTCAATGTATCTTTTTATTCACATTTTCTAATTCCTCTAGTTTTTAACTTCAATTGTCAGTAAAACAAAAGTATGCAATGATCTTTAAACAGTTGAATCTAATAAACTTTTAGTAACATGAATTCTATGTATTATAAAAAAAACTTTTATCTATTCATTTGAATTGTATTTCACAATTTTACGTAAAACAATTGAAAAATGCCCATTTCAACAATGCTAAATCCTTCCCTTATAAAAACCTCCATGTTCAAACAATGTGTGTATGTGTATGACTATATGCGAAGAATAGCAGCACAAAGTGCATTACGCCAAGAACCATTTACATACTAACCAATGTTCTTGCCAGTTGTTAAATAAATCAAACTTTGTCGAGAGCAATTCAAAGTTTGTAGGTGTTGAATCCAATATTGCCCTAGCAATAGTTAGGAAATTCTGTAGTCAAGTTACCCAATTCAACTGTTTCTGACAGAAAAATAGAGATTTCAGTACCTTTTTCAGTATATTTTCTTTCGATAGCACTTGAAAACATTTAATTGATTTAACAATATGAACAAGAAAAATAGGTTAACACAGAAATGGTTTCTGATGTAATGCACATAATTTTAGTTAGACAGCTGAATGTTTGCAGTTTAAATAATAAATGTTTGAAAAGCAACCAAGGACTAAAAAAACAAAGTCAAGAATAAAGAACACATCACTAACACATAATATGTAATGATATAAATTCTTCTCAAACAAACAGCCCTTACTCACAATATAATAGTCACTTAATTGTAACAATATATATACAAAATCTTGTTAACAAACACCAAGCACTTGTTATATATGGAAAAATTTACATGCCATGATATTTATGGGTCTTTCTATATTATCTTCAAAAATTTATCATCTAAACAATAAATAAATGTATCAATTATTCATCCATATAAATGATTAAGATATAATTTTTAATCCTTCGTAATGACATGGTTATTTGAATGAATGCAAAGGAATAGAGTGCTTTTTGAATTTGTTAAAAATCTAATACTTTATATACTTTAATTTTAATATTAATGTGAACTGAATATCTCAAACAAAGGAAGATAGAAAATTAAAAATCTGTGCTTTTATTGTAATCCCGACTTTTTAAAAAATATGTTCCTGAGCATATTTATAAAACATCACTTAAATTGAAACGTTTATGTATGATCCTTTTAATAAATTAAATAGAAAAAAAAGGACGAAGAAGACTTCTGAGTGATTGTACTTACTTCAGTAAATTTATGAAGAGCACGTTAAGAAATTAGGTTCATACAAATATATAATGAAATTAAAGAACAGGAAATCTATTGACTTAATATACCTTAAAAGATACCATGCATAAGCTTACAATTAAATTGATTCATGAGCTGAAAAAAAGCATACATAAAAATCTTGAGGGATGAATAAAGTATAGAAGTGACCGTAATGACATCAAAGAAAATGATAATTTAGATATTCAAATTTCCCTGCATCTGTTAACAACTAAGAAGCATTCTTGTTTGCTAGAATCTGAATCGACTAAATTGACTATCTGTTTTAAACACAACCATTACAAATATGTCTATTTCCTATCTACGGTAACTAACATATGGTGTAATTAAAAGATCTTCGTCAGACTCCCAACTCTTCTAATAATAAACTATAAAAGTATGCTAAATGAACAAATGGCAAAATTTCATTTGTTAGTTTCAAACAAGGTAGGAAAAAATTTCATTGGAAATAAAAGTTGGGTAGAAAAATATATGTTTTTTAACATCAGTAACAATCTGAAAGTCTCCGTGTTGGTCATAATTCATGTAATTCTTGGTAAGCGCTGGCCACATGGACATCTTGAGAATAGTGAGACAATGGAGCACGTTTGAGTTTCTGGAAAAAAAGATGAAAATGTTATACACTGTATATAGCGGAGAGATACTAAATTCACAATATACATGATATACAAGTAACTTAACATCACACCAGAGGGTCCTGTGAATATAATACTGGAGACATACCATATTCACAATATAAAAGTATTTTAATACCACATCAGCAGTTCCTCTGAATATAATATTAAACTAAAATCTCTTGAAATTGTGTATCTTTTCAAGAAATTTAAACCGTTTTTGCCATGTTTATCATTGAAGTGAGATCCAGATTTGTGAGGACCACACAGATTCAAACAAAATAATCAGAAGATTCTGTCTATAATACTAATAGTGCACCACTCCATCTGGTTTTGTTACTTTATTTGCATGAAGCAGAACTCATTAAAAAAATATTATAAAAATACTCTAGAACAGTAAAAGTGACGCCACCAAAATTCAAACTTGATCTGTGTATTGTGGTAATAAGCATTGTGTATAAGTTTCATAACATTTGAATGAGGCAAACTTAAGTTATAGAACAGAAATGAAAAATTTTGCAATTTTTCCATTTATAAAGGGGCATAACTCTAGAACGGTTAAAGTGACACCACCAAAATTCAAACTTGATCTGTGTTTTGTAGTAATAAGCATTGTGTATAAGATTGATAACATTTGGTTGAGGCAAACTTTAATTAGAGAACAGAAACCAATTTTGGGACGTACAGACGGACAAGGGTAAAACTTAATGCCTTGTCCGCTTCGGTGGGGGCATAAAAATGGATAATGTGTCACCATGGATACAGATGATGCCCCCGCTTGCATACAACATTATAAACAGTGTTCCAGCTAGGATTTCAAAAGGGCAGGGAGCCAATCATGAAAAGGGCACTTTAGCACAATGATTGATACTTCAAAAAGGGCATGTCAAACATTGTCTTATGTTAACTGCAGGGGTTTCAGTAGGAGTTTTGAGGGGGTTTAGTCACTTTTACGCTAGATGAAAATCAACCTTATTTTGGGTAACAGTATTAAAGGGACCATGCAAGGACGTATATTACTAGCTCAGTCTTCCCTAGAACATTTTTGATGCATGGTAGCTCTAAGGTTAAGTTGCAATGCAGAGCGCAGTGGCGCTTTGTAGAATTATTTTTATTTCATTAGTGAAATGAATTGTGCATGTCAGTTAAAATACTACACTAGATCTGCAATACAGTCAGGAACAATACCTTACATTTTCTCCAGGGGCCAACCTAGATCACAAAACATTTTTTCCAGTAGAAATTTTAAGGCCCTACCAGGGTATTTTTACTACAGGTACATACTTATTAATAGTCTTGAATGTTCTTATAAAGGCAATAATATATGTTTGAAATGCCTAGTACATGTAGCCCAGTGTTTCTGATTATGATAGAAATAATAAATGAATTATTATAATAAACCACATTGAGTTTTTCCGAATTAAAATCCATTTAACCATGTCTTTTCAGACTGTTAAATTAATATTTGTAATATTATATATAAAAAATCCCCCCCTTTCCATTTTACACACCCCTAGATGTAGAGTATTAAAGTATTATCAGTTTCACCCCAAGACAATATTCATTTTAAATGAAATAATCTTAGCAGTTAATCAAAATGAAAATCTTACTGTCTATAAATAACAATGAAATGTAACTGTTTCTTGCTAAAGGGTTTTTCCGAATTTCCCGCCAAAAAAGCACATGGCTTTCAACTTGAATGTAAACAAAGCAGTCAATTTGTGATGATGGATTACAGCTTTAATTAATTTAATTTGGATATAGATATATAGATATTCAATGAAAGGTACAGTCAAGCATTGATTTTACTTTCTTCTGGATTAAAACTAGTTTAAAAGATCAATTTAAAAAAAAAAATCTTTGACATATAAACAACAAACGATCTACAGATACATCAAAGCTCATTAGAGCTTATGTTTGTATGTTTGTCAATATGCCGAATCAAAATCAAGTTTTACTTACTTACTTTCTTACTTACAAACGCAAATTGTCATCTTTTGAGAAATATTGAAATTGAAATGCTGACTGACCGAATTTAATGAGAAAAATTATTACAATGGTCAATTATGAAGTTTAATTAACGGATTAATGACCCATCCGATGTCGTTAAGCGGATTATCTGTAATCACAACTTATTACACCTGCTGTAAATGTTAATTAGCTGAGGGTCATAAACTTGTCATAAATATGAAGACAGGTAGAATAAATGTATTTTCATCAAACTATTACGGCAATAAAGGCATGTACTTACGAAAAAGGGCAGGGCGTCTTAAAAAGGGCACAGGGCGGCACTCGGGAAAGGGCGGGCAGACCGCCCTGTGAAAACGACCTAGCTGGAACACTGATAAAGGGACATAACTCAAGAACAATAAAAGTGACGCTACCCAAATTTGAACTTGATCTGAGTTTTGTGGTAATAAGTATTGTGTAAAGGTTTCATAATGTTTGGTTGGGGCAAACTTTAGTTACAGAACGGAAACTAAAAACTTGTAATTTTTCGATTTATAAAGGGGCATAACTGGATAATAATTAAAGTGACTCCACCAAAATTCAACTTATTCTGTGTTTTGTGGTAACTAGAGGCTCTAAAGAGCCTGTGTCGCTCACCTTGGTCTATGTGAATATTAAACAAAGGACGCAGATGGATTCATGACAAAATTGTGTTTTGGTGATGGTGATGTGTTTGTACATCTTAATTTACTGAACATTTTTCCTGCTTACAATTATCTCTATCTATAATTAACTTGGCCCAGTAGTTTCAGAGGAGAAGATTTTTGTAAAAGATTACTAAGATTTACGAAAAAATGGTTAAAAATTGACTATAAAGGGCAATAACTCCTAAAGGGGTCAACTGACAATTTCGGTCATGTTGACTTATTTGTAGATCTTACTTTGCCGACATTTATTGTTTTTTACAGTTTATCTCTATCTATAATAATATTCAAGATAATAACCAAAAACAGCAAAATCACCTTAAAATTACCAATTCAGGGGCAGCAACCCAACAACGGGTTGTCCGATTCATCTGAAAATTTCAGGGCAGATAGATCTTGACCTGATAAACAATTTTACTTCATGTCAGATTTGCTTTAAATGCTTTGGTTTTTGAGTTAAAAGCCAAAAACTGAATTTTACCCCTATGTTCTATTTTTAGCCGTGGCGGCCATCTTGGTTGGTTGACCAGGTCATGCCACACATTTTCAAAACTAGATAACCAAATGATGATTGTGGCCAAGTTTGGTTTAATTTGGCCCAGTTGTTTCAGAGGAGAAGATTTTTGTAAAAGATTACTAAGATTTACGAAAAATGGTTAAAAATTGACTATAAAGGGCAATTACTCCTAAAGGGGTCAACTGACCATTTCGGTTATATGGACTTATTTGTAAATCTTACTTTGCTGAACATTATTGCTGTTTACAGTTTATCTCTATCTATAATAATATTCAAGATAATAACCAAAAACAGCAAAATTTCCTTAAAATTACCAATTCAGGGGCAGCAACCCAATAACGGGTTGTCCGATTCATCTGAAAATTTCAGGGCAGATAGATCTTGACCTGATGAACAATTTTACCCCATGTCAGATTTGCTCTTAATGCTTTGGTTTTTGAGTTATAAGCTAAAAACTGCATTTTACCCCTATGTTCTATTTTTAGCCGTGGCGGCCATCTTGGTTGGTTGACCGGGTCACGCCACACATTTTTAAAACTAGATACCCCAATGATGATTGTGGCCAAGTTTGGTTAAATTTGGCCCAGTAGTTTCAGAGGAGAAGATTTTTGTAAAAGTTTACGGACGACGGACGCAGGACGACGGACGCAAAGTGATGAGAAAAGCTCACTTGACCTTTCAGGTCAGGTGAGCTAAAAAGCATTGTGTATAAGTTTCATAACATTTGGTTGAGGCAACTTAAGTTAGAGAACAGATCTAAATATTTTGCATTTTTTTCTATTGATAAAGGGGCATAACTTGAGAATGGTAAAAGTGAACCCACAAAAATTCAATCTTGATCTGTATTTTCTGGTAATAAGCATTGTGTATAAGTTTCATAACATTTGGTTGAGGCAAACTTAAGTTAGAGAACAGAAACTAAAAATTTTGCAATTTTTCCTTTTATAAAGGGGCATAACTCTAGAACGGTTAAAGTGACGCCACCAAAATTCAAACTTGATCTGTGTTTTGTGGTAATAAGCATTGTGTATAAGTTTCATAACATTTGGTTGAAGCAAACTTAAGTTAGAGAATGGAAACGAAAAATTCAGCAATTTTTCAATTTTTAAAGGGGCATAACACTAGAACGGTTAAAGTGATGCAACCAAAATTCAAACTTGATCTGTATTTTGTAGTAAAAAGCATTGTGTATAAGTTTCATAACATTTAGTTGAGGCAAACTTAAGTTATAGAACAGAAATGAAAAATTTTGCAATTTTTCCATTTATAAAGGGGCACAACTCTAGAACGGTTAAAGTGACACCACCAAAATTCAAACTTGATCTGTGTTTTGTAGTAATAAGCATTGTGTATAAGATTGATAACATTTGGTTGAGGCAAACTTTAATTAGAGAACAGAAACCAATTTTGGGACGTACAGACGGACAAGGGTAAAACTTAATGCCTTGTCCGCTTCGGTGGGGGCATAAAAATGGATAATGTGTCACCATGGATACAGATGATGCCCCCGCTTGCATACAACATTATAAACAGTGTTCCAGCTCCGCTACGGCTGGGGCATAAAAATAAAGAGTGGACACATTAATAATTAAAATGCCTCATCTGCTATGATATCTCAATTCTTTTCAAAGAGCAATGAACTCTCAAACTGAGGTCAATTCATCAGTCAAATGAAATCTGTCAGGTCAATCAATAACGGCTGGCCAGTGTGATATTCAGTTAAAAATAAACCCAAACATTTCCATGCTTCTTTTTCTTGACCCTTACAAAATTTGACAAGAATGACCAGCTTGCCTATCCAGTGCACCCAACATATCACAGTTCTGATGGATAGTTTAAGGTGTTATTTGATTATGCATGTCTTTTTTTGTCATTGCATTTGGGTTTTTGTCGAGCCTTGTGACTTTTGTTGCAAAAGCGAGACATAGCGATCCTACATTCTGTCTGCAGCGGCGTCCACAAATATTCACTCTGTGGTTAAAGTTTTTGAAATTTTAATAACTTTCTTAAACTATCCTGGATTTCTACCAAACTTGGACAGAAGCTTGTTTATGATCATAAGATAATATCCAGAAGTAAATTTTGTAAAAAAAAAAATCCTGTTTTTCCGTATTTTACTTATAAATGGACTTAGTTTTTCTGCCAGTTAACATTACATTCACTCTGTGGTTAAAGTTTTTCAAATTTTAATAACTTTCTTAAAATATTCTGGATTTGTACCAAACTTGGACAGAAGCTTGTTTATGATCATAAGACATGTAAGATAGTATCAAGAAGTAAATTTTGTAAAAAAAAAAATCCTATTTATCTGTATTTTACTTATAACTGGACTTAGTTTTTCTGCCAGTTGCCATTACATTCACTCTGTGGTTAAAGTTTTTAAAATTTTAATAACTTTCTTAAACTATATTGGATTTGTACCAAACTTGGACAGAAGCTTGTTTATGATCAAAAGCTAGTATCTAGAAGGAAATTTTGTAAAAATTTATTTCTTGTTTTTCCGTATATAACTTATAAATGGATTTAGTTTTTCTTCCAGTTAATATTACATACAGTCTGTAGTTAAAAGTTTTTAAAACATTTATTAGATTCATAAACCATTCTGGATTTTTACCAAACTTGGACAGAAGCTTCTTACAATCAAAAGATAGTATCTATAGGAAAATTTTTAATAATTTTTTCCCCATTTTTGTTGAGCCTGTGACTAACAGCAAAAGTAGGCGAGACACTGGATTCCGTGGAACCCCTACAATTTTTTTTCCTCTGGGTTTTAAAATTTTCTAATTCCCCCTTTTTTAAACTTGGTATCTTTCTCTTATTATTTTACCTACCTCGACAGATAAGTATTAATCCTACCTTGACACATAAGTATTTAACCTACCTCGACACATAATTATTTAACCTACCTCGACACATAAGTATTTAACCTACCTCAACACATAAGTATTTAACCTATCTCGACACATAAGTATTCAACCTACCTCAACAACTATTTTAAGTATTTAACCTACCTCGACACATAAGTATTTACACAGCTATTCTTGATTACTTCCTTCGCTAACGTTTCTACTTCTAGTTTTACTTTCAACGTCTGCAGCTGCTTCACGCGGTTTACCGGTACCAAATATACTAGTGTTACGTCCAGCTTCACTCGTCTGAAGAACTGGAGCCGTTACTGTTCTTGGCTTCAGTTTTAGTTTAGGCCTTGCTGCTGCAGATTCTAAATAAATCATTAACATTTGATATATATATCAAATATTTTCAAACAAAATATTAAGGGACATTACTCTTAAAATTCAGTTATGTTTGATTCAGACATTTTTCATCATATATTCTAAGCTTCTTGGTGAATAGATTTATTTAATTCTGATTCACATGAATGCTATATAAAGCATTGAAGAAACTGATTATTACAAATAAAATTGAGAATGGAAACAGGGAAAGCTTTACTTATTTAAACAGATGTCTCCTTCAAGTTGATTAAATCTTTTATATAATTCAAATTTTGTATAACATATTTCAGTCAGAAGCTTGTAATTGGGTGGTTGTCCTTTGTTGCTGTTTATCATTTATTTTTTCATTCATTTTGTAGTTTTTACTTGTTTTGTTCTGTTGCACCACTGTCTCATTTTTAACCCAGCCACATTCTGTATGTGCCTGTCCCACGTCAGGAGCCTGTTGTTCAGTGGTTGTCGTTTGTTGCTGTATATCTAATTGTTTTTACTTTATTGTTTTGTACATAAATCAGGCTGTTAGTTTTCTGGCTTGAATTGTTTTACATTTGTCATTTCGGGGCTTTTTATAGTTTGCTACGGGGTATGGGTTTTTCTCATTGTTGAAGGCCTTACAGTGACATATAGTTGTTAACTTCTACGTCATTTAAATTTTGGTGGCAAGTTGTATCACTAGCAATCCTACCACATCCTCATATTTTTATATTCTATACTTATGTCATACATGTCATATGCATTTATGTTGCCATCTATTACCTGGAGATGGTTCACGAAATTCCTCTTCCCGCATAGGTGGACGGTCTTGTCTTGATCTGCCACCACCTCCATAAGATCCCCCACGATCGTATCCTCCTCCTCCTCCTCTACTACTTCCACCATCAAATCCTCCTCTGTCTCTGTAACCACCTCGACCCCCTCGTCGGTCACCAAATTGTCCATCATGATCATTACCCCTGTCATTCCATCCTCCTCCGTCCATGCCCCCTCGACCACCTCTTCCTCCTCCTCCTCTACTACCTCCACGAAAGCCTCCTGAAATATAGCAGACAGTGATATGCAAGACCACCTCATTACATTACAGAAAAGTAAAAAAACAAATAGACAAACTTAGGTACGTTGTTGTGACGTTTTTGATTTTAACGAACATAATCTATGTATTACTGGTAAATTATTAAGCCAGGGATTTCATTACCACAAATTACTAAAACCTTTACTAAATTCTTCCACAGATATAAAGATTTGGTTTTGAAGTTTGGTTGTACCTGTAGAAAACTTATTTCAAACAGATTGCACATCCTCATTTTTACAGCAATATTGTTTGTTTACCGTGCCCGGAAATTTAGAAACGATCCTGGTAAACTTATCGATCCTTTAAATAAACTTATTCTAAAAGGTTACCAATTCAACACTGTAATTAGATCATTAAATATTGTTTTTATTGGTACTAATATTGATTTTGTTATCAGTAAATTAAAAGCAAACTAAATATTATTGTTATATACATACATGTAAACACATTCATGGATCTACAATCTGTCGATACCTGTATCTTGGCATTGCACAAGGTCATGTTTTTCTCTGACTGTTTATGACGTCTTTACACTAAATCCATTGGATGTTGGATGTGTACGGATTGATAATTTAGTCTTAGATGCATGATTTGTTTTATAAGTTGTTAGTGGCTTTGAACTAGCTGTCAGTAACTGCAAGTACTCTCAGATCTGTACTTAGTGTCTTTTTGTTGTTTGATGTACTAGTACCCGGCCACGTCCACTTGTATTTGTTGTATTTGTATTTTTATCCATCTGATGAGTTAAGCCTTTTTCAACTGATTTTTATGGTTCGTTCTTATGTTGTACTGTTAGACCACTGTCCCAGGTTAGGGGGAGGGTTGGGATCCCGCTAACATGTTTAACCCCGCCACATTCTGTATGTATGTGCCTGTCCCGAGTCAGGAGCCTGTAATTCAGTGGTTGTCGTTTGTTTATGTGTTACATATTTGTTTTTCTCGTTTGAATTGTTTTACATTGTCATTTCGGGGCCTTTTATAGCTGACTGTGCCGTATGGGCTTTGCTCATTGTTGAAGGCTGTACGGTGACCTATAGTTGTTAATTTCTGTGTCATTTGGTCTCTTGTGGAGAGTTGTCTCATTGGCAATCATACCACATCTTCTTTTTTATATTAGGTACATCAAGATATTTGACAGGTTACTTGGCAGGGAAGATAATGAAATAAGGCAAACACTTAAGGTTGAGTTCATAAATGGTTTGATAAATATACAGATTGAGAGAGAAAAGTAGTGCACATAAGAGAACATAGGGTTGAGCACTCACAAACATGTTTAACCCTGCCATGTTCTTTATGTGCCTGTCCCAAGTCAGGAGCCTGTAGTTCAGTGGTTGTCGTTGGTTCATGTCTGTCATATTTGTTTTTCGTAAATTGTTTTGTTCTAAATTAGGCTGTTAGTTTTCTCAATTGAATTGTTTCATATTTTTCATGTCGGGGCCTATTAAAGCCGACCATGCGGTATGGGTTTTTCTCATTGTTGCAGGCCATACGGTTGCCGTTAATTGCTTACAAACACTTCATTTAAACTTTGGTGGATAGTTGTCTCATTGGCAATCATACCACATCTCCTTATTTTTATACTTATATCAATTTCTTCTGCAATGCATCATATTACCCCCAACAAGTTTCAATTATTCCATAATAATAGTGAATGCATGAAAAACAATAGTTATGATATGAAATGCCACATTAACTTTCCTCACAGTCATTCAGCTTAGCAACTGGTTACAGGACATTTGCCCATCTCCCTCCCTTAATGTCCTGATGAAATTTGAAAATGTGTTTAGTTAACTTCTTAAGGTTCATCATAACAATTGGACAAAGATGGGTGTGTTTACACTTTAAAAATTACTCAGAGAACAGACAAACCTGTGCAGTTTGAAAAGTTTTAAGGTTTACCATTCATGATCATCAAAATCTTTAAAATGTTTTATATTTATGAAACACAAAATGCATTTAACTTTTATATAATTATCTAGTGGATACTTTTTATGAAAAACCTTGACAAATGTCTAAAAGATTTTTTATTATAGAAAAGGCAATTGACCTAAAACTCATTAACTGTAGCTGAATCACTGCTTACAATATCTTTTAAATGCTTTACTTGTTAGGGGTCTTATCTATTAAACATTTACCTTGACCTCCACGACCTCTACCCCTATCTTTCCCTCGATCTCTACTTTCTGCAATATCAACTCTCAGATTTCTGTCTTCAAATAACTGAAACATTAAAATTGTTATATAAAATGTTGTGAATGCAAACTTCAAGACTACACAATATATGACATATATAAATATGCGATCTTTACTTTCAATTTTTTTTTTATATTAGCAGAGATTTCCCTAAAATTAAAGTATATTTGAATATCTGTGAAAGAATATAATTAATACAGTCAAACCAGCTATAAAGGTCACCTCTAGTAAGTGAAAACCTGTGTTGTCAGGTCATTGTCAAGATCCTCTTGTTCTACTTCATCAAAACCTATCAATTTTTAACACAATTAAAAGGTCACCTATCTTATAAACTAAGGTGAGTTTTCTATGGTCCAGAGGGTGGCCTTTATATACAGGTTTGAGTGTAGTTTTGAATTAAAAACAATGCATATAAACAACTATTGAAGGTTTTCACTGAATAGTTATTTCAATTATAACAATGACATTTCCTTATCCTTGATTGTTGATTATCCCTTCTTTTTACATATCATGAGCACAAAGGACAACTTGTCAGCTTTCCCAAGAAAGTTGAAATTCAGTCTGGTATGCAAAACTCTACAGTGAAATTGCAGAATTCATACCCTTTTATACTTTTAGTCATTTGATTTTGGAAAAGTCTCATTCTATGCAAAATGCATATGTTAGGTGTTTTCTGATTGGTCAATATAATTTAATACTCCAATCAAAACAAAAAGAACAAGTTTGTTTTCTGTTTATCTAAACGAAAAAACAATTAGGACTTTCCCTATCTTTGATCATGTTGAAAAGAGATATTCTCCCAAAATTAAAGAACCTTTGTGGGGACGCTCACATACCCCATGCCCCCACATTGACACTGGGCAAACAAAATATCACAAGATTCCTACGTGTCAAAGACTCAAAACTCCTACAAAAGTCAACGGATAAAAATTTCTTGTGGATATGCACATTTACATATTATGTCCTTATTATCTACAAAGTTTCATGAAATTCTGTTGTGTGGATTCAGAGGGGTTGCAATGACAAACTGTTGCTGTAGTATGTAGTATATATAGTCCAAAATCTAAGTTCAAAGGGGCATAACTCCTAGAAAAAAAATTGAATCATAATTTCCTGTCGATATTCACATCTACATAGTATGTCCTTGTTATCTACAAAGTTTCATGAAATTCTGTTGAGTTGTTTCAGAGGAGTTGCAATGATAATAACAGGACTGACAGACTGATGGATGGACAGGACAAAAACATTATACCCTATGGAGCTATGTTCTGTTTTGTTCCGTAGGGTACAATAAGATAAGTGTGAAAGAATCTGAGAAAAAAGGAGTGGGCATACAAATTCCATATTCTGACCATTATGTTGGCTACAGCCTTTTCAGTAAAGCTCAGACTCTGTGCTTGGTGTAGAAATGACTCAAATCCAATTTTTGCCCTTTGACCTCTATTTTAACTAATATCTATATGTGTTTACTTACTGCACCATGGTAAGTGAGAGCTTCTTTCAATGAATCTAAATCTTCGAATTCTACATAGGCAAAGCCTGAAAATAAAGATACAAATACTGTAAATTCTACATACATGACATAGGCAAAGCCTGAAAATAATCATACAAAATCTGTAAATTCTACATAGGCAAAGCCTGAAAATAATCATACAAATACTGTAAATTCTACATACATGACATAGGCAAAGCCTGAAAATAATCATACAAATACTGGAAATTCTACATAGGCAAAGCCTGAAAATAATCATACAAATACTGGAAATTCTACATAGACAAAGCCTGAAAATAATCATACAAATACTGTAAATTCTATATACATGACATCGGCAAAGCCTGAAAATAAACATACAAATACTGTAAATTCTACATAGATATAAGAAGATGTGGTATGAGTGCCAATGAGACAACTCTCCATCCAAGTCAAAATTTATAAAAGTAAACCATTATAGGTCACAGTATGGTCTTCAACACAGAGCCTTGGCTCACACCGAACAGTAAGCTATAAAGGGCCCCAAAAAATTACTAGTGTAAAACCATTCAGACGGGAAAACCAATGGTCTAATCTATATAAAAAACGAGAAACGAGAAACACTTATGAACCACATCAACAAACGACAACTACTGAACATCAGATTCCTGACTTAGGACAGGTGCAAACAAATGCAGCGGGTTTAAACGTTTTAATGGTACCAAACCTTCACCCTTTTTCTGAAACAATAGTGTAACATCACAACATAGAAAGACACACTATAAAATATCAACTGAAATAGCTTAACTCAATCAAAGGACATATTAACACCATTGAACATACACTGAACAAATAAATTTGACCTATGACACAATGTAAATACAAAATAAATAAACTAAGGGAAGAATAATAAAAGTAACATGTTATATCGGTAAGAAATGTTAAACAATTAAAGAAAAACAGTATGCTCGAACAAAAATACCATCCATTTGCAATACATACATGACATAGGCAAAGCCTGAAAATAATCATACAAAATCTGTAAATTCTACATAAGCAAAGCCTGAAAATAATCATACAAATACTGTAAATTCTACATACATGACATAGGCAAAGCCTGAAAATAATCATACAAATACTGGAAATTCTACATAGGCAAAGCCTGAAAATAATCATACAAATACTGGAAATTCTACATAGGCAAAACCTGAAAATAATCATTCAAATACTGGAAGTTCTACATAGGCAAAACCTGAAAATAATCATACAAATACTGGAAGTTCTACATAGGCAAAACCTGAAAATAATCATACAAATACTGGAAATTCAGAAATTTGCATCTATTTGATATTGCTTTTGTTGAACAATGGACAAAAATGTGAGATAAATTATTGCCATTTCAGGAAATGCAGCATATATACATGTATATCAGTCAGAGCTCAGACATAAACAAGTCGATTTTTGTTTTTGACTTACAATGTACATTAGTCAAAAATTGTATTTACATGTATTATAAAAATGTACTTTCATTTTCAGACTTATTTAAAGGGGCACTAGCTGTCAAATTCATGTTCACCGATTTGACTCAAATTCTCAAATTTGATTCATAACAATGTAAAACATTTATCCAAACTATTGAGAGTCTTAAATAAACAATTTACAGGGCATGAGCTTGATAATATGAGTCATCGTTTCACTTTCAATGTTGACATTCTTTTCCTTTAAATAACTTTACACAGACAATTCATGCGTTATCCATCTCTAGCTAAGGGGTTAAATTGAAGTTCACATGGATACGGATTCAATGATGTCGAATTATTCACTTGCAAGTGAATAATTCATCATCAATGTTTCTTAGCTTATTTTGAAATAAAATGCTTCGCTGGGCGCAGCTTGATACGACCGCAGAGGTCGAACCCTGAACAGTTGGGGCAAGTATGGACACAACATTCAAGCTTGATACAGCTCTGAATTTGGATTGTGATTAAATATTTGACACAGCATAGGTTTCTGACACAGAAAGAATGTGGTCTAAGAACTTCAATTTTTTTAATTTACCTATTATGGTCCAATGTCCAAAATCAAAATACATGGTTAGATTCAGCATATCAAAGAACCCCATATATTCAATTTTTGTTGAAATCAAACAAAGTTTAATTTTGGACCCCAACTTGGACAAACTTGAAAACTGGTCCCATAATCAAAAATCTAAACACATGTTTAGATTCAGCATATCAAAGTACCCCAAGAATTCATTTTTTGTTAAAATCAAACTAAGTTTAATTTTGGACCCTTTGGACCTTAATGTAGACCAATTTAAAAAACGGGACCCAAAATTAACAAGAGTGCACACGCTGAAATGTCTCGCCTTCTTTACTAATCATTGATATTATGTTGATAGTCCTAAATATAAAGCTTTATTACAACTGTCACATAAACTTAACATTAACCAAGTAAACTAAACATTGACCAATGAACCATGAAAATGAGGTCAAGGTCAGATGAACCATGCTAGGCAGGCATGTACAGCTAACAATTCTTCCATACAACAAATATAGTTGACCTATTGCTTATAGTTTAAGAAAAACAGACGAAAACACAAAAAATTAACACTGAGCAATGAACCTTGAAAATGAGGTCAAGGTCAAATAAAACCTGCGTAACTGACATATAGATCATAAAATATTTCCATACACCAAATATAGTTGAACTATTGCATATAGTATTAGAAAAAAAGACCAAAACTCAAAAACTTAACTTTGACCACTGAACTATGAAAATGAGGTCAAGGTAAGATGACACCTGCCAGCTAGACATGTACACCTTACAATCATTCCATACACCAAATATAGCTGACCTATTGCATGCAGTATTAGAAAGAAAGACCAAAACTCAAAAACTTAACTTTGACCACTGAACCATGAAAATGAGGTCAAGGTCAGATGACACCTGCCAGCTAGACATGTACACCTTACAATCATTCCATACACCAAATATAGTAGACCTATTGCATACAGTATAAGAAAAACAGACCAAAACACAAAAACTTAACTATAACCACTGAACCATGAAAATGAGGTCAAGGTCAGATGACACCTGCCAGTTGGACATGTACACCTTACAGTCCTTCCATACACCGAATATACTAGACCTATTGCTTATAGTATCTGAGATATGGACTTGACCACCAAAACTTAACCTTGTTCACTGATCCATGAAATGAGGTCGAGGTCAAGTGAAAACTGTCTGACGGGCATGAGGACCTTGCAAGGTACGCACATACCAAATATAGTTATCCTATTACTTATAATAAGAGAGAATTTAACATTACAAAAAATCTGAACTTTTTTTTCAAGTAGTCACTGAACCATGAAAATGAGGTCAAGGACATTGGACATGTGACTGACGGAAACTTCGTAACATGAGGCATCCATATACAAAGTATGAAGCATCCAGGTCTTCCATCTTCTAAAATATAAAGCTTTTAAGAAGTTAGCTAACGCCGCCGCCGCCGCCGCCGCCGTAGCCGCCGCCGCCGCCGCCGGATCGCTATCCCTATGTCGAGCTTTCTGCGACAAAAGTCGCAGGCTCGACAAAAATCTAAAAACACGGTTAGATTTGGCATATCAAAGAACCCCAATAATTCAATTTTTGATGAAATCAAAAAAGTTTGATTTTGGACCCTTTTGACCTCAATATGAACCAATTTGATAGCGGGCCCACAAATAAAAAATCTAAATACAAGGTAAGATTCAGCATATCAAAGAACCCCATATATTCAATTTTTGTTGAAATCAAACAAAGTTAAATTTTGTTGGACCCCAACTTGGACCAACTTGAAAACTGGGCTCATAATCAAAAATATAAACACATGTTTAGATTCAGCATATCAAAGAACCCCAAAAATTCAATTTTTGTTAAAATCAAACTAAGTTTAATTTTGGATCCTTTGGACCTTAATGTAGACCAATTTAAATAAAATGCTCCGCAGGGCGCAGCTTGATACGACCGCAGAGGTCGAACCCTGAACAGTTGGGGCAAGTATGGACACAACATTCAAGCTTGATACAGCTTTGCATTTGGATTGTGATTAAATATTTGACACAACATAGGTTTCTGACACAGAATGAATGTGGTCTAAGAACTTAAAAATTTTAAATTGGACATTCACCTATTATGGTCCAATATCCAAAATCTAAATACATGGTTAGATTCAGCATATCAAAGAACCCCAAGAATTCAATTTTTGATGAAATCAAACAAAGTTTAATTTTGGACCCTTTTGACCTCAATGTGGACAAAGTTGATAACGGGGCCCAAAAATCAAAAATCTAAATACATGGTTAGATTCGGCATATCAAAGAACCCCATATATTCAATTTTTGTTGAAATCAAACAAAGTTTAATTTTGGACCCCGATTTGGACCAACTTGAAAACTGGGCCCATAATCAAAAATCTAAATACATGTTTAGATTCAGCATATCAAAGAACCCTAAGAATTCAATTTCTGTTAAAATCAAACTAAGTTTAATTTTGGACCCTTTGAACCTTAATGTAGACCAATTTGAAAATGGAACCAAAAATTAAGAATTTAAATACATGGTTAGATTCGGCATATCAAAGAACCCCAATAATTCAATTTTTGATGAAATCAAACAAAGTTTAATTTTGGACCCTTTTGACCTCAATGTGGACCAATTTAAAAACGGGGCCCAAAATCCAAAAACTAAATACATGGTTAGATTCAGCATATTAAAGAACCCCAAGAATTCAAGAATAAAACCCCATTGAAATTGGTCAAGAAATAAGCAATTTATACAAAGTATCTTCTTTTGCACAATACTGTGCAATTAAATATTTCTTGCTATTGCGCAATACTGTACAATTGATAATTTCTTGCTATTGCGCAATATTGTGCTATTGGATATTTCTTGCTATTGTGCAATACTGTGCAATTGAAGATTTCTTGCTATTGCGCAATACTGTGCAATTGAAGATTTCTTGCTATTGTGCAATACCGTGCAATTGAAAATTTCTTGCTATTGCACAATACTTATTATATAATAATTTACACATCCTGTTTGGTGTGTATCTCCTACCATATCATTATTATTTGCTTTTAAATATAAATCAGAAATAACCAACTTAAAATGGAAAATTTTAAAAGAAAAAAAAAAGAAAAAAAAGGAAAAAAAAAAAAATCCCCCCCCCCAAATTTGAACCCCCTTATGATTCATCACCCCCAAACTCAATCCCAGCCTTCCCTTTGTGGTATGGTACCTTGCAGTACAATTTCAGAGAGATCCATACACTTGAACACAAGTTATTGTCTGGAAACTAGAAAAATGTGTTTTTTGGCCCCTTTTTGGCCCCAAATTCCTAAACAATTAGGGCAATTAACCCCAAACTCAAACCCAGCTTTCCCTTTGTGATATGGAACCTTGTAGTACAATTTCAGAAAGATCCATACACTTACACACAAGTTATTGTCCTGAAACTAGAAAAATGCTTGTTTTTTGCCCCTTTTTGGCCCCCAATTCCTAAAATATTGAGGCAATTACCCCCATCATCAATCCCAGCCTTCCCTTTGTGGTATGGTACCTCGCAGTACAATTTCAGAGAGATCCATACACTTGAACACAAGTTATTGTCTGGAAACTAGAAAAATGCTTATTTTTGGCCCCTTTTTGGCCCCCAATTCCTAAATGTTTCGGCAATTACCCCCAAACTCAATTCCAGCTTTCCCTTGGTGATATGGAACCTTGTAGTACAATTTCAGAAAGATCCATACACTTACACACAAGTTATTGTTATGAAACTAGAAAAATGCTTGTTTTTTGCCCCTTTTTTGGCCCCTAATTCCTAAAATTTTGAGACAATTACCCCCAAAATCAATCCCAGCATTCCTTTTGTGATATGGAACCTTGTGGTACAATGTCAGAGAGATCCATACACTAACACACAAGTTATGTCTGGAAGTTACAAAAATGCTTATTTTTGGCCCCTTTTTGGCCCCTAATTCCTTTACTGTTGGTACCATAACCCCCATAAACAATCCCAACCTTCCTTTTGTGGTATTGAACCTTGTGGTAAAATTTCATAGAGATCCTTTCACTTAAACTAAAGTTAGAGTGCGAAAACCAATGTGTCTTCGGACGACGCCGGACGACGCCAGACGACGACGACGACGACGACGCCGGACGACGACGACATACCAATATACGACCACAAAATTTTTTTTGCGGTCGTATAAAAACGGGACCCAAAATTAAAAATCTAAATACACGGTTAGATTTGGCATATCAAAGAACCCCAATAATTAAATTTTTGATGAAATCAAACAAAGTTTAATTTTGGACCCTTTTGACCTCAATATGAACCAATTTGATAGCGGGCCCACAAATAAAAAATCTAAATACATGGTAAGATTCAGCATATCAAAGAACCCCATATATTCAATTTTTGTTGAAATCAAACAAAGTTTAATTTTGGACCCCAGTTTGGACCAACTTGAAAACTGGGCCAAAAATCTAAAATCTAAATACATGTTTAGATTCAGCATATCAAAGAACCCCATATATTCAATTTTTGTTGAAATCAAACAAAGTTTAATTTTGGACACCAACTTGAAAACTGGGCCCATAATCAAAAATCTAAACACATGTTTAGATTCAGTATATCAAAGAACCCCAAGAATTCAATTTTTGTTAAAATCAAACTAAGTTTAATTTTGGACCCTTTGAACCTTAATGTAGACCAATTTAAAAAACGGGACCCAAAATTAAAAATCTAAATACACGGTTAGATTTGGCATATCAAAGAACCCCAATAATTCAATTTTTGATGAAATCAAACAAAGTTTAATTTTGGACCCTTTTAACCTCAATATGAACCAATTTGATAGCGGGGTCCACAAATAAATAAAATGCTTCGCTGGGGCCCAGCTTGATACGACCGCAGAGGTCGAACCCTGAACAGTTGGGGCAAGTATGGACACAAAATTCAAGCTTGATACAGCTATGACTTTGGATTGTCATTAAATATTTGACACAGCATAGGTTTCTGACACAGGATGAATGTGGTGTAAGAACTGGAAAAAATTTAATTTACCTATTATGGTGGAATATCCATAAACTAAATTGTTTGTTAATTTCAATATATCAAAGAATATGTAGAATTCAATGTTTGATGTAATGTAATAAAGTTGAAATTTGGACCGTTTTTGTTCAATGTGGACCAATTTGGTAACATGTATAAATAATCAAAAATCTAAATACATGGGAGCCCATTTAAATACATCATAAAGGTATTAAAATAGAAAGTGACATCATAGTCATGGCTAAAAATAAACAAAAATCCTTAATCAGCAACATTTAAAGTAATATCTAAAAATAAAATTCCTTTGTAACCATAAAAGCCCATTTAAATACATCATAAAGATATTAAAATAGAAAATGACATCATAGTCATGGCTAAACATAGCAAAAAACCCTTAATCAGCATCATTTAACAGTAATATCTAAAAATGGAAATTACATCATAAAGGTATTAAAATAGAAAATGACATCATAGTCATGGCAAAAAATAAACAAAATCCTTAATCAGCATCAGCAACATTTTATAGTAATATCTAAAAATAAAATTCCTTTGTAACCATAAAAGCCCATTTAAATACATCATAACAGATATTAAAATAGAAAATGACATCATAGTCATGGCTAAACATAGCAAAAACCTTAATCAGCATCATTTAACAGTAATATCTAAAAATAAAAATTTCTTTGCAACCATAAAAGTAAAATAGAAAATGACATCATAATCATAGCTAAAAATAAACAAAAATTTTTTTTATTGGCAAATTTTAAATGGAGTTTATTATACTAAAACAATAAATTTGCAACCATAAACATGATAAAACCCCATTTAAACACATCATAAAAGTATTAAATAATTCAACTACATCATAAGGCTATAAAAATAGAAAATGACTTCATAGTCAAGGCTAAAGGTAAACAAAAAACCTTCATCAGCAAAATTTTATATTGGCAAATTTCCAATGAAGTTTATTACACTAAAATTGTTGGCAAATTTCCAATGCATTTATTAACAATAAAGTTATTGGCAAATTTCCAATTTACATAATTTAAAAGCAGTGTAGATGAGATATTTAAATGAGTTTGAATTACCAACCTTACACTGCTTTTAAATAATGTTCTTTACTCAATTATTTGTCTATTAAAATGGAAACCCTTGTTTTTTAACCTTTTTTCCCCTTATTCCTTAAACATTAGAGCCATAACCCCCCCCCCCAAAGCCAATTATTACTTTCCAATGTAACCTAAATTTCCAATATACATAATTTTAAATTTCAATTCCTCATGATATATAACCGTATCATTATTATTTTCTTTCATATATAAATCTGAAACAACCATCTTTAAATGGAAAATTTTAAAGAAAAAAAAAGGAAAAAAAAAAATCCTACCTCCCACACATTTTTTCAACCCCCTTTTGATTCATCATCCCCCACCTCAATCACAACCTTCAATTTGTGGTATGGTACATTGCAATACAATTTCACAGAGATCCATACACTTGAACACAAGTTTTTGTTGCAAACTAAAAAAATCCTTATTTTTGACCAATATTTGGCCCCTTATTCATAAATGTTTGAGCAATTAACCCCAAAGCTCAATTCCTACTTTCTCTTCGTGATAAAAAATAACTAACTTAAAATGTAAATTTTAAACAAAAAAAAAAGGAAAAAAAAAAATTACCCCTTTTTTGACCCCCGCCCCCCTTATGATTCATCACCCCCACCCCCCTTTCCACCCAAACCAAGCTCAATAACAGCCTTGCCTTTGTGGTATGGTACCTTGTAATACAATTTTAGAGAGATCCATACACTTGAACACAAGTTATTGTCTAGAAACTAAAAAATGCTTATTTTAAACCCCTTTTTAGGCCCCTTATTACTAAACGTTTTGGGCAATTACCACAACACTCAATTCCAGCTTTCCCTTTGTGAAATGGAACCTTGTAGTAAAATTTCAGAAAGATCCATACACTTACACACAAGTTATTGTCATGAAACTAGAAAAATGCTTGTTTTTTGCCCCCTTTTGGCCCCTTATTCCTAAAATTTTGAGGCAATTAACCCCAAAATCAATCCCAGCATTGACCCTTTGTGATATGGAATCTTGTGGTACAATGTCAAAGAGATCCATATGCTAACACACAAGTTATGTCTGGAAGTTACAAAAATGCTTATTTTTGGCCCCTTTTTGGCCCCTAATTCCTTTGTTGGTACCATAACCCCCAAAATCAATCCCCACCTTTCTATTGTGGTATTGAACCTTATGGTAAAATTTCATAGAGATCCATTCACTTAAACTAAAGTTAGAGTGCGAAAACCATTGTGTATTTGGACGACGACGACGACGACGACGACGACGCCAACGTCATACCAATATACGACCTCAAAATTTTTTTGCGGTCGTATAAAAATCTAAATACATGGTTAGATTCAGCATATCAAAGAACCCCATATATTCAATTTTTGTTGAAATCAAACAAAGTTTAATTTTGGACCCCAATTTGGACCAACTTGAAAACTGGGCCAAAAATCAAAAATCTCAATACATGTTTAGATTCAGCATATCAAAGAACCCCATATATTCAATTTTTGTTAAAATCAAACAAATTTTAATTTTGGACCCTTTGGACCTTAATGTAGACCAATTTGAAAACTGGATCCAAAATTAATAAAATGCTCCGCAGGGCGCAGCTTGATACGACCGCAGAGGTCGAACCCTGAACAGTTGGGGGAAGTATGGACACAACATTCAAGCTTGATACAGCTTTGGATTTGGATTGTGATTAAATATTTGACACAGCATAGGTTTCTAACACAGATTGAATGTGGTCTAAGAACTTAAAAATTTTAAATTGGACATTCACCTATTATGGTCCAATATCCAAAATCTAAATACATGGTTAGATTCAGCATATCAAAGAACCCCAAGAATTCAATTTTTGATGCAATCAAACAAAGTTTAATTTTGGACCCTTTTGACCTCAATGTGGACAAAGTTGATAACGGGGCCCAAAAATCAAAAATCTAAATACATGGTTAGATTCAGCATATCAAAGAACCCCATATATTCAATTTTTGTTGAAATCAAACAAAGTTTAATTTTGGACCCCGATTTGGACCAACTTGAAAACTGGGCCCATAATCAAAAATCTAAATACATGTTTAGATTCAGCATATCAAAGAACCCTAAGAATTCAATTTTTGTTAAAATCAAACTAAGTTTAATTTTGGACCCTTTGGACCTTAATGTAGACCAATTTGAAAACGGAACCAAAAATTAAGAATCTAAATACACGGTTAGATTCGGCATATCAAAGAACCCCAATAATTCAATTTTTGATGAAATCAAACAAAGTTTAATTTTGGACCCTTTTGACCTCAATGATGACAAAGTTGATAACGGGGCCCAAAAATCAAAAATCTAAATACATGGTTAGATTCAGCATATCAAAGAACCCCATATATTCAATTTTTGTTGAAATTAAACAAAGTTTAATTTTGGACCCCGATTTGGACCAACTTGAAAACTGGGCCCATAATCAAAAATCTAAATACATGTTTAGATTCAGCATATCAAAGAACCCTAAGAATTCAATTTTTGTTAAAATCAAACTAAGTTTAATTTTGGACCCTTTGGACCTTAATGTAGACCAATTTGAAAACGGAACCAAAAATTAAGAATCTAAATAAACGGTTAGATTCAGCATATCAAAGAACCCCAATAATTCAATTTTTGATGAAATCAAACAAAGTTTAATTTTGGACCCTTTTGACCTCAATGTGGACAAAGTTGATAACGGGGCCCAAAAATCAAAAATCTAAATACATGGTTAGATTCAGCATATCAAAGAACCCCATATATTCAATTTTTGTTGAAATCAAACAAAGTTTAATTTTGGACCCCGATTTGGACCAACTTGAAAACTGGGCCCATAATCAAAAATCTAAATACATGTTTAGATTCAGCATATCAAAGAACCCTAAGAATTCAATTTTTGTTAAAATCAAACTAAGTTTAATTTTGGACCCTTTGGACCTTAATGTAGACCAATTTGAAAACGGAACCAAAAATTAAGAATCTAAATACACGGTTAGATTCGGCATATCAAAGAACCCCAATAATTCAATTTTTGATGAAATCAAACAAAGTTTAATTTTGGACCCTTTTGACCTCAATGTGGACAAAGTTGATAACGGGGCCCAAAAATCAAAAATCTAAATACATGGTTTGATTCAGCATATCAAAGAACCCCATATATTCAATTTTTGTTGAAATCAAACAAAGTTTAATTTTGGACCCCGATTTGGACCAACTTGAAAACTGGGCCCATAATCAAAAATCTAAATACATGTTTAGATTCAGCATATCAAAGAACCCTAAGAATTCAATTTTTGTTAAAATCAAACTAAGTTTAATTTTGGACCCTTTGGACCTTAATGTAGACCAATTTGAAAACGGAACCAAAATTTAAGAATCTAAATACACAGTTAGATTCGGCATATCAAAGAACCCCAATAATTCAATTTTTGATGAAATCAAACAAAGTTTAATTTTGGACCCTTTGGACCTCAATGTGGACCAATTTAAAAACGGGGCCCAAAATCCAAAAACTAAATACACGGTTAGATTCAGCATATTAAAGAACCCCATGAAATCAAGAATAAAACCCCATGAAATCAAGAATAAAACCCCATTGAAATTGGTCAAGAAATAAGCAATTTATAGGAAGTATCTTCTTTTGCACAATCCTGTGCTATTAAATATTTCTTGCTATTGCGCAATACTGTACAATTGACAATTTCTTGCTATTGCGCAATATTGTGCTATTGGATATTTCTTGCTATTGCGCAATACTGTGCAATTGAAGATTTCTTGCTATTGCGCAATACTGTGCAATTGAAGATTTCTTGCTATTGTGCAATACTGTGCAATTGAAAATTTCTTGCTATTGCACAATACTTATTATATAATAATTTACACATCCTGTTTGGTGTGTATCTCCTACCATATCATTATTATTTGATTTTAAATATAAATCAGAAATAACCAACTTAAAATGGAAAATTTTAAAAGAAACAAAAAAGGAAAAAAAGAAAAAAAAGGAAAAAAAAATAAATCCCCCCCCCAAAATTTTTTGAACCCCCATTATGATTCATCACCCCCAAACTCAATCCCAGCCTTCCCTTTGTGGTATGGTACCTTGCAGTACAATTTCAGAGAGATCCATACACTTGAACACAAGTTATTGTCTGGAAACTAGAAAAAAATGTGTTTTTTGGCCCCTTTTTGGCCCCAAATTCCTAAACGTTTAGGGCAATTACCCCCAAACTCAAACCCAGCTTTCCCTTTGTGATATGGAACCTTGTAGTACAATTTCAGAAAGATCCATACACTTACACACAAGTTATTGTCATGAAACTAGAAAAATGCTTGTTTTTTGCCCCTTTTTTGGCCCCTAATTCCTAAAATTTGGAGGCAATTACCCCCAAAATCAATCCCAGCATTCCTTTAGTGATATGGAACCTTGTGGTACAATGTCAGAGAGATCCATACACTAACACACAAGTTATGTCTGGAAGTTACAAAAATGCTTATTTTTGGCCCCTTTTTGGCCCCTAATTCCTTTACTGTTATTACCATAACCCCCAAAATCAATCCCAACCTTCCTTTTGTGGTATTGAACCTTGTGGTAAAATTTCATAAAGATCCATTCACTTAAACTAAAGTTAGAGTGCGAAAACCAATGTGTCTTCGGACGACGCCAGACGACGCCGGACGACGATGACGACGACGACGCCAACGTCATACCAATATACGACCACAAAAAATTTTTTGCGGTCGTATAAAAATCTAAATACATCGTTAGATTTGGCATAACAAATAAATAAATGTGGTCAAAGATTTTACAAATCTAATGCGCCATACTGTGCAATTAAAGATTACTTCTTGAAATTTTTCAATATTTGAAATTTGAAAAAAAAATAATATTTGAAGAATAATTCTTTTTAATTTCTGAAATCTGAAATGAGAAAAAATTGACCCCCACAATTTCTTTTTACCCCCACCCACCCCCCCCCCCCCCCATTTTTTCCCCCAAACCATAATTACCCATTTAAATTTACCATAGTGCTAACTTAATCTATTTTATAATAGAATTTAAAATATAGTGTCAAATCTTTCATATGGATTTTTTTGTAAAAAAAAAAGATGCAACATTTGCAGATATTTTTACTGGTCTTCCTTTATAAATATGCATTTCTTTAAACATAATTTAAAAGCAGTGTAAGGGAAGTAACCAAAACGTTGTATTTGGATTACCTCCCTTACACTGTTTTAAATTATCTTAATTGGTCATTAACCATTACTTTATACATGATTTAAAAGCAGTGTAAGGGAGATAATTTCAATGATGTATTTGATTTATCTCCCTTACACTGCTTTAAATTATGTTTTGTACTAAAGTATTTGTCCATTAACCAGGACAACCTTGTTTTTCCCCCTTTTTTGCCCCTAATTCTTAAACGGTTTGAGCCATAACCCCTCAAAGCAAATCCTAACCATCCCTTTGTCGTATGGAAACTTGTAGTATAATTCCAGAGAGATCCATACACCGTTCCACAGTTATTGTCTGGAAACTAGAAAATGCTTATTTTTGGCCCCTTTTTCCTTAACTGTTGGTACCATAACCCCCAAAATCAATCCCCACCTTCCTTTTGTTGTATTGAACCTTATGGTAAAATTTCATAGAGATCCATTCACTTAAACTAAAGTTAGAGTGCGAAAACCAATGCGTCTTCGGACGACGCCGCCAACGTCATACCAATATACGACCACAAAAATTTTTTTGCAGTCGTATAAAAATTGAACTATACTGGCTGCTAAAAGCGAATAATTATTTCACTATTTCACTTTCATTAATGATTGAACAAAAAAAATCATATTTTAGATTTTTTATATATCTCGTAGCTAGTGCCCCTTTAAGTCAGAAAATGACAGACTTGTTTAGGTCTATTTATGTTTATAATAAAATGCTTGGCTAGGCGCAGCTTGATACGACCTCAGAGGTTGAACCCTGAACAGTTGGGGCAAGTATGGACACAACATTCAAGCTTGATACAGCACTGAATTTGGATTGTAATTTAATATTTGACACAGCATAGGTTTCTGACACAGAATGAATGTGGTCTAAGAATTTAAAAAATTTTAATTTTCCTATTCAAACCATATCATTATTATTTGCTTTTATATATAAATCAGAAATAACCAATTTAAAATGGAAAATTTTAAAGAAAAAAAAGGAAACCCCCCCCAAATTTTTTGAACCCCCTTATGATTCATCACCCCCAAACTTAATCCCAGCCTTCCCTTTGTGGTATGGTACCTTGCAGTACAATTTCAGAGAGATCCATACACTTGAACACAAGTTATTGTCTGGAAACTAGAAAAATGCTTGTTTTTTGGCCCCAAATTCCTAAATGTTTAAGGCAATTACCCCCAAACTCAAACCCAGCTTTCCCTTTGAGATATGGAACCTTGTAGTACAATTTCAAAAAGATCCATACACTTACACACAAGTTTTTGTCCTGAAACTAGAAAAATGCTTGTTTTTTGCCCCTTTTTGGCCCTTAATTCCTAAAAATTTGATGGCAATTACCCCCAAAATCAATTCCAGCATTCCCTTTGTGATATGGAACCTTGTGGTACAATGTCAGAGAGATCCATACACTTGAACACAAGTTATTGTCTGGAAACTAGAAAAATGCTTATTTTGGCCCCTTATTCCTTAACGTTTTTGGCAATTACCCCCAAACTCAATTCCAGCTTTCCCTTTGTGATATGGAACCTTGTAGTACAATTCCATAAAGATCCATACACTTACAAACAAGTTATTGTCATGAAACTAGAAAAATGCTTGTTTTTGGCCCCTCATTCCTAAAAATTTGATGGCAATTACCCCCCAAATCAATCCCAGCATTCCCTTTGTGATATGGAACCTTGTGGTACAATGTCAGAGAGATCCATACACTAACACAAGTTATGTCTGGAAGTTACAAAAATGCTTATTTTTGGCCCCTTATTCCTTAACTGTTGGTACCATAACCCCCAAAATCAATCCCAACCTTCCTTTTGTGGTATTGAACCTTATGGTAAAATTTCATAGAGATCCATTCACTTAAACTAAAGTAAGAGTGCGAAAACCAATGTGTCTTCGGACGACGACGGAGCCGGAGATGACGCCAACGTCATACCAATATACGACCTCAAAACTTTTTTGCGGTCGTATAAAAATACTAATTTTAATTAGTGGCCAAAGTGCACCACCTATGACATCATTAACCTGTGTGAGAGTTCACAATGACCTAAGCTATCTATATTTAATTATCTAATTGAACATTTTTACTTAGGATAGATTATTTTCTTCATTTTGTGTGATTACAGATGGTTGCATTGTAAAGTAAATAAACATTATCTCCGATTTTTTAGACTCTCATGCATATTTTTCCTTAGAAGACAAAGCATTGTCTTTCAATGTTGTTATAATTTCATGTAGATGCATGACCTTTTTATAAATATGCTTGGGTCTTGAAGTTGGCCAATTTTGGTAACTTATTGACTTGTAGGAGTCAATATTTGCAACTCTTTAATTTAGGTCAAATATTTCTTGCATAACACTAATTGACTTATTGAAGTCATAATTTGTCTTAAATTAAAGGGAGACAAATCTTGAAACCTTCTAATTTAGACCTCTACGAGTCAAAAGCAGATTTAGACTTATTTATGTCTGAGCTCTGACTGTATATAATGTTACCAAATTTTAAATGAAAGTTTTCATTTTTGCAAAACCTATCCCGTCGTAAATTTTCACAATAATAAAAAAGAATGTGTCCATAGTACACAGATGCCCCATTTGCACTTTCATTTTTACTTAGCTCTTCAGGGCTCTTCAATTTAAATGTTCATCTTTTCCAAAAATAGTCTCTATTAAAATAAGGAACTTGTCCATAAAGCCCAATTTGGCCTATTATCATCACAATGTATTTTCTAACACATGTTTGTCCAGTATTGAATTTTTTCCAGCTGGTCACCAGAGTTTTTGTTGAATAAGGTATTAAGAAATCCCCTTGATTGTATATATATATTTAAATGCTTGTACAACATTTTCTGCTAATCAGTTCTGTATTCAAATCTGGGTGTGATCCTTTCCTTGTTGGAAGAATATTAATGGTTCAATCTAAAAGTATATCGTACCTTTAAATTTATCTGTATCTCTGTCTCTGACAAGCCGTACACTTCTAACCTGTAATATAATCAAATAATAACATGTTTCATATTCATTGATGATATTTCAGTTCATTGTTTCAACATCAAAATGAAAATAATTATAAATTATAAAATGATGATTGCCAATGAAACATTTTAGATGACCAGCCAACACAGTCAATGCTTTCATTACTTTTCTTAAGAAATTAATGTCTATGTCTTGAATTTCTTAATTTCTAATTGAAAATGTGCAGTTACATCAACTTGATCAAAATCTCAAAAATACTGATGTCAAAAGCGGCTGTTGTAAACACGTGGACAACTAGAAGTAGACATTGTTTCAGAAAGTGAATAAACTGACAGGAAAGCAAGTTTTTCTAACTAGACAACCTAGTACCTTGACCTATCATTTTTATGATTTATGTACATAAATAACAGAAGACTTTCTTTGAAACATCAAAAGAACTTGTACATGATAACTGTCTGGAAGCGTATAAAAATGCCAAAAAAATAAGCAATTTCTTTTTTGACGTGAATTTTTAGACTTTTCATTGCAGGCATATATCACTATCAGTATATATTCATTAAAAATTCATACTTACTCGTAAATCTTTAAATATTAATTCTAAATCTCCCTGCACTAAACCATTGGGTAGATTACCAACATATGCTGTGAAAGGGGGTTCAGTGGGTAGAGGCTTCTGTCCACCTCCACCTCTACCCCCTCCCCCACCACCTCTATATCCTCTGTTTTGACCACCTCCTCGACTATTGTAGTTGTCGTAATTATCACCCCTAAAAAAGATAGCATACAATGTGAGTATTAAATGATTGGGCCTGTATGGATTTAAATTTAAATGCAGAAACAATGCTTTGAAATGTGTTTATTGATTTAATGTTCACAGTTCAGTGGCAAATGTTTGGTGCACATTCGGGACAGAAACAAAATTAATTAACATTTAAAGCGTGATAAAGCTCAATAAACAGCTGCGCCATGAGCGCATGATACGCCTGTTGTCTTGTGTGTGAATTTTTATGCAATAAGCATAAATAGTTTCTGACATACGGCGTGACATGCGAAAACCCCCTTTTTTTTTTACAAAAAACTCAATATCTCTAAAATAAAATTTTGAATCAAAACCAAAAATGATACAGATCTTTAGATTAATATAACTAAGAAGTGTGCAAAATTTTAAGCAATAATCATAAATCGTTTTTGAGATACGGCGCGACATGTGAAAACCCCCCTTTTAAAAAAAAAAATCAATATCTCAAAAATAAAATTTTGAATCAAAACCAAAAAGTATACAGATCTTAAGATTAATATAACTAAGAAGTGTGTTAAATTTTATGCAATAATCATAAACTGTTTTTGAGATACGGCGCGACATGTGAAAAACCCCTCCCCCTTTTTTTACAAAATACTCAATAACTCAAAAATAAAATTTTGAATCATCACTAAAAAGTATACAGATCTTAAGGTTAATATAACTAAGAAGTGTGTAAAGTTTTAAGCAATAATCATAAACTGTTTTTGAGATACGGCACGACATGTGAAAAAACCCTCTCCCTTTTTTAACAAAATACTCAATATCTCTAAAATAAAATTTTGAATCATCACCAAAAAGTATACAGATCTTAAGATTAATATAACTAAGAAGTGTGTAAAGTTTTAAGCAATAGTCATAAATTGTTTTTGAGATACGGCGCGACATGTGAAAAAAAAACACACACCTGTTTTAGTTACTAAGTCCCGTAACTCAAAAAGTTTTAATCTTATTTTCACCAAAAAGTATACAGATCGTTTGACCATCATAAGAAACAACTATTTTAAGTTTCATGAAATTTGGATAAGTCATTCTCAAGTTACGGTGCGACATGTTTACGCCGGACAGACAGACGGACAGACAGACACTTGTATACCATAATACGTCCCGTCAAAAATTTGACTGGCATATAAAAACCAGCTGCCCCAATTCAATGATTTTGTGATTTTTACTAGTTTTCATCCTTATATAAAAGAATGTACACCAAGTACAGAGGACAGGAGACTATATTAATCAAATACAGAAAAGACTATTGACAATTGATTTTAACTACCTCAGTATCATAAGGAGAAATGAGTTCTTTTTTTGAAACTGATAAGCAGAAGCAGTGATACTTAAAAGAGGCGTGCTTGTTTGTTCATTGCGCTATAATGTTTGGTTTTTATCTTACCATTTGTATCCTATTTTTTTTTAAATTCCTTCTTGTATTGTTCAAATTCAATTTTATTTCATGTCTGAGAATACCATTTCAGTAACAGTTGTCTCAGTTTATGTCCTCAATTGACATGTTTAGTTACATGCATGCATTTACTTGTATATGTATTCACTTGTCAGAAACTAACAAAAAATATGTACCAACTAAAAAATATCTAGTATATATACTGTTGCATATCTACAGAAAAAAAAATTGAAAAGGAAAACAAATTATCATTTATCATGTTTATCAATTTGTTAAATAAAGAAAACTATTCTATTTATGGTATTCATTGGTTTTAGTCTATTACAAAATGTATAAATTTAACAAACTTAAGGCTTTAAAATTAAATCAATAAATTGAAAAAATTATGTTGCATTAATTTAAAATATATACTTGTAACTTAGGGGATCTAACAAAATGTCTATTAATCACTTTTAGCTCATTATTCTGTGGTTTATATCATTAAAATAAGGATTTCGGTCATAGTTGGTCTGGGATTAGCATCTGATTTGTAGTTCCTATCAATTTTTCACTGGCAGAAGAAGGAAAATTAACAAAAATTAACAATCTTTCATGAGCGAGTCTGAAAGGAATATGACATTTATAACGTAATAAATGGATCTTAACTTAAGGCCATTATAATGAAGTGAAACATTATTTTGTCAAAAATCAGAATCTTTTGATTACGTTAAAAGAGTTTGAAAAAAAAATACTATGATCTCTAAACGTTGGCATAAACAGTTGTTCTTTTGAAATAACATACGACCAGATTACAAATTCAATGGGCATAGTCAATTTTATTTCAAACAACTGGCACTTAATCATGAACAAGTAGTGTTCATAAGAACAAAAAATTGCACTGATAAAAATGCACTTTTTCACTTGGATTTCTACTTAATTCATCTAATCCAATCGGAAAAGATGAAAAATATACAAAATGCATCTATAAATAATGTTTATAAACTTCACCAGTCCACCATTGTAATATGAGGCAGGTGTTACCTGTGAAAGAGGACGAAGTCCATATAAATTATTTTTGGAATTCAAGCATATTTTAACTTCAGAATCTGATGAAAAAGAAATATGGAAATGGTTCCCCATGTTGGTCCTGTTGTTAGGGATTTTAGTTGTGACGTCATTTTCAATGTAAACAAAGAACCGCTATCATCAGGTAACATTTTTATTCGTATCAAAGAATTATGAAAATAAAATTATTATAATTTATATCTTTAAACGAAGAAGATACCAAGTCGGATTGTTATTCTTATCAGATACTGAAATAAGATGTTGATTGATCAGGTAAGTTTCCCAAGAGAACACATTTTGTTAGCTATAAAATCTTATGTTGATCAAGCTCCACTCATTTTAAAATGTAAGGAATTTATTTTTAATTGTTTACTGGCAGTTTTTTTCCGTAATCAAAAGCAACAAATTTGCGGAAAATAATATGATGCTCTTTCCTATATTTTACTCAACAGTCAGGGGACTTACTTAAATGAGTGATTTTCTAAATCACTGATTCAAGTAACATTATGTACATAAAGGTTGGAAGTAAGAGTTGTCTTTCTTTAATAATCACCTATTTAAGTAGTACAAATTAATCACTAGACTAAGTGATTTAATTTTATTGTAGCTTTAAATATAGAATACTAATGATCCAGGAACTAATTATGTTGCTAAAATCATCAGAACCAACATCTGTGTTGATAGGATGACCGGGTCATCATGTCAGGTGATGACCTTGTACTAAATCTAGGATAATGACATAAAAATCACTTGTTCAAGTTTCATACCTCAATTTCCTTCCAAAAAATCACTTCTGTCAGTATCATTATTTTAATGACCCCCACTAATTTCAACACCCCCGAACAGTGAAATTTTGATCGCGAACAGTAGAATTAGTTCATTAGTAGATTGATTTTTTTTCATTTTATTGATTTTCTAACTGAAATTGGGGACTTTGTCCCCATATAAGCCAATGACCAATTTTAATGCTTTCAGGCATTGGACCTGACCGTCTTATTTTGAAGACTGATGTGCCACATTGGAACTTAAGTAGACTTACACACCGTGTATCATCGGTACAGCAGATATAGGTACTAACCAAGAAGGCGAGATCGTTTTTGACCTGACACGGTAAGAAAATCTTTCTTTTGTTTACTTAATATCAATGTGTACTTCAATCTAAACATAATTGTTGTTTTAAGAAATGATTTGGTCATAGGTTGATGATAAGAGAAATCTCATTATTTTACCAAAACAAGAATGCTTACTCAATGCATGAAAAACATGTGCAAATACTTGTGAAAGAAGTTGGCGCTTGTCTCATCCGATATGATTCTATATTCATTGCAACTCTTTTTCTGATAGAAGGCCACTGTGTGTGCGTAATAAGTATAGCTGTTTCAATAATTGGCATTGAAATCTTTCATACATGTTATTTTTCGATATTTTATTCCGAAAAGAAGCGTTGAGTACGGTGTAAAGCTGACCAAATAAATCCTTCTGTATGGTGCATAGTTAAGTAAATGTACGGTATATAGCTTCAGTGTTCTCCCCAGAAATTTTGGATAGCATCACATTTGGCATAAAAAAATAAACTATATTTTTCAATGTCATTTGACGCGTCGCGGCGATGCTCTATTTCCTTTATGTTATATATGTTTTTATCATATACTTGTATAAAATATTACTAAAATTTTACTGTTCAATAACATTTAAAAATATTTAAAGGCTATGAAAGGATTACTAGGTTTATTGACCAGATTCCTAAGAATTTCCTCAGCGGGCTGATAAAGGAACCTTTATTGACTGCTTCCGGAATGTTATCACATGCCTTTCCGTTAATTTCCATGACGTTTATCACATGCAACTTCGTGCATTTCCGGAAATTTGTTCGAAAACGACAACACAGTGCGGAAAACCGCAAGTGATTTAAGACTTTTCACAAAATGGTTGAGGAGCAAATTTCAAACTAAGAACATGTTAATTGTTGTGACAAGATAAATAAAATGCTTGTAATATCAATAAAAACAATAAAAGTTAAGACATTTGTATTTGGTTGTCTGTAAATTATTATCTAAAAATTCATGGAAAGACAAAATTTTAATTAATAGTTCTTGTCTGTATTTCTTCTGTTGAAGTATATGATAAAAAGATAATTACATGTCATTTATCATATCAGACCCTTTATCGGCCCTCGTTCATGATATCAGCCCTCGAGCCTGCGGCTCTTGGACTGATATCATGACCTAGGGCCGATAAAGGGTCTGATATGAAAAATGCCATGTAATAATCTATACATATTGTTCAATTCATAACTGAGAATACAATTAAACTATAACCATGATAACAGTTGTTTCAGTTTATGTTTTCTATATTCATTTATTGTTACAAAATTATTTTTTTCCTCTTGGGCCAAATTAAAATATATGTGTGGTTCCAGTTACCCTACCTACTCAACTAAATGAATGAAAAATGAATGAATGAATGAATGGTTTATTATAGTGCAACATGTATATACAATACTAAATATCTAGCAAAAAAAAGAACTGTTTTTTATATAAAAAGGGAAGAGAAAGTATCATATAGCAATAAAATTTCAATTAAAAAACTTTTTTCTTTATCATGTCTATGAAATTCATTGTTTCATGGTACTCAATGAATTAGTCCCAGTTGTTTCTTTATATCAAAATGATATATATTTTTAACAAAGTTAAGCTACTTTAGTCAGTATATTAAAACAATGCATTTTCAAAAAGATTACATTTAGCAAAGATATCTAATAAATAGTCTGTTAATGCGTTTGGAAAGCGTAGTTTATTCTTTTGTAATCATTTTTTCTGTCTACTGTGCCATGTGTGCATCTGTAGTAATTATCGGAAAAATACGGAATTTTGTCATATCTGGTTCGGTTCCGATCCGTAGTTTACACAAATATTTCAATGGCGGCGGAAGAAAAACTTACGAAAATAAACAATGTTTGACAAGAGATTGGGAATGCGTATGACGCTTTTAATGCATTAAATGGATGACATGAAACAATAACTAAAGCCAATTATGATCTCTTTCTAAAGTAGTATCAAACTTATTTAACTCAAAATCAAAATGTTAAATATACGGCATGTACGCTCTCGATTAACTAGATACCGGAAATGAAAGAAAGTAATTTTTTAAAAGTTGTAAAAATATACGACCTAACCTCTTTTCTAAAGAGAGAAATCGTTTGTATCTTTGAATTTGGATTATGCAAACGTAGATTTCGAATTTTTTCGATTTTCTGATTAAATTTTCTCCATGTTGAAATTTGCGATTGGACCACGTGGTATTAGTCATGTCACAAGTGTCAGCTTGGGGTATTCGTATCCATTCAGTTATCACCCAAAGGGCAATTAACACCTATTTAATCACTCTTAATTGCCTCTATTGTCGGACTTGAAGGGATTACAATTAAAGGTGATATAGTTTTTATGATCACAAGCGGTAATTAGATGAAAGTTCAAAATTTAGGACATGGTTTTGCGATATAGAGACTAGAAAAATAGCATCCTCAAAATAATTATAGCGTCGCGGAAATTATTATAGCATCACGGGAAAAAAATATAGCGTCTCAGTGCCGCTACGCTAAAACGGCCTGGGGAGAACACTGAGCTTTTCCACACTTGTTTATTACCCAAAATGTTTCATGGAATGAGTTATCACAAGTAGGTTTATGATTGGTAACTATTACTTTTGCCCTGTATTAGCTTTCATTCAGATAAAACATGAAAATGGCTCGACAACTGTATCGAAATTGAAAGTTGGTGTTGACATTCACAACTATTTGCGCATGTAAAAGTTTATTATTCTTATTAGAATATAAAAGTTGTCTTATAAATAGGAAAAAATTATTTGGGAGCAGGAATTTCAGATGTTGAGAAATGTACACTGAATGTAGATAAAACAAAACAAAGATTTTCTTACCGTAAAATTGAGAATGGAAATGGGGAATATGTCAAAGAGACAACAACCCGACCAAAGAGCAGACAAGAGCCGAAGGCCACCAATGGGTCTTCAATGTAGAGAGAAAATCCTGCATCCGGAGGTGGTCCTCAGCTGGCCCCTAAATAAAACTGTGTGCTAGTTCAGTGAAAATGGACGTCACACTAAACTCCAAAACATATAAATGAACTAAAATTAAAAAACATACAAGACTAACAAAGGCCAGAGGCTCCTGACTTTGGACAGGCACAAAAATGCGGCGGGGTTAAACATGTTTTGTGAGATCTCAACCCTCCCCCTATACCTCTAGTCAACGTAGAAAAAAGAAACGCTTAGCAATACGCACAGTAAAACTCAGTTTAGCAGAAGTCCGAGTCCGATGTCAGAATAGGTAACAAAAGAAACTAAGCAAAATGACAATGATACATAAATCAACAAAGGACTAGGACTACTAGCAGTTACTGACATGCCAGCTCCAAACCTCAATTAAACTGATTGAAAGATTATGTCTTCATCATATGAAAATCAAGCACAATCCCTCCCGTTAGAGGTTTAGTATGCCAGCTTTAGCTGGCACTTATGGTAGAAGCATCGAATTGGAATAAAGAACGATAACTCTCTCTACATGATCAATCTAAAAAGTTTCGTCACTCTCGTTAAATCTCGTACAATTTTTTTTTTTTAAATTTCTAAGTTGATCAAGTCAAGTTATCTAACTCTAAAAAATATTTGTTTCTATTTTTTTCGTTATATTTATTAAATAAATATTGTATTCTTGCTTGGCTTTAAATATAAAGTCAATTCTTCAAATAATGAAAACGAAATTAGCATTGGAATATCCGTTATGACATTGTCAGGACATTAGTTTAACCCTTATATTTTTAATGGCTGCCAGATTCTCGTTTAATCGCGATCTTGAAAAAACGGGACAAAACGGAAAAAAATCGATGTTAAATACGACATGAAGTTTTATTTGTTTACAAAAACAAGAATTTAGAAATTTTAGTAACTTGTGTAGTTTATTTAAATTTAATTGTACAACGGAAATAACCGAAGTTTGGAAAACAACATCTTACGCCATGTTTCATCGTCTGCTGCATCTTTCCATTATCAGTGACAAATTTCCTAAATAACCACAGGTACTTCATTTAAAAGTTACAATATCATAATTTATGATAACATTTGTAGCGTAAAAGTTCCGTCCAGCCATGGGAACATAGAAAAACCCTCTGCAAGCAATAAATTTCGGGAGAAACGTAGCCAGAGGTAGTAAAATCCGGTGCTCTGCCTCTGGTTGACCATAATTTATCTGCTACAGAATTTCCCATATCAAGTTACAGTGATAATGAAGTTGGTTTTACTGTTGAATGTGATCACGGTTATTCCTGTAGCTCACAGACAAATGCAGGTGAAATTCAAAACTTAACAAAAGTTTTAAACAAAATTAAAAAAAATATATTCAATTTCACTATCTTAGACTGTACTTCCTTTGACAAACTCTCAACAAATCTTGTCATTAATTATGACACATAGCTACCTTAAACAGTCCCAGGAGATGGAGACTTTTTTTTTCACTCTCTAAGTTTAATCATAAAACAGCTGTAAAAGGAGACTTGAGTCTGAGTGATACATTTATAGGTACATATATATTGTATGCACCCATATTGTCCAAAATAGGATTTGATGGGAAGATGGAGTTATGATAACCCATGATAATACCCTGACTTTTGATAGGTCAAGAGCATGTTACTTGGAATCCTTTGAAATTCAAGCTGCCGACACATTATTTGGATGCTTGAAATAATTGCCTCCCGCAGTCGCCTGTATATTTTATGCATCAGTTTAAACCTGATCAAAACATTTTCCCTCTACTGAATACTTTTATCGGGTGCACATTTCAACCTATTAAAGCAATAAACACTTATGGCTATAACGTCACAGTTCCCAAAATGCACCGAGTACCCAATTTGCACCTATTCATCAGAAATAACTGCGGAAATCTTACACGTTTTCTTTGAGACTAAACAATTTGTATTGTTATGATTTGACATTATATATGTCTTTCAACATCGGTTGATATATTTAAATATACACAAATCGTTTACTATGAGAATATATCAACAGATGAATCATTCCCGGGAAAAAGTAAATCTACGAAAACATCAGTGTTGTCACCATGCGAAGTTATCTAATTATCATCTTTTAAAAATGTAAGCAACTTCACAACTGCAAGTTAATTTTCATGACCAAAATAAAATAAAGTACAAACAAAAAAGCAATAAAATGCTTCGCCAAGCACAGCCTAATACAACCGCAGATGTAGATTAGCATATAAAAAAACACCAAAAATTTTTTGTCAGTTGAAATCAAATATATTTTAATTTTGGACCCTTCAAACTTTAATATGAACTAATTTAAAGGGATCAGGTGAACCCGAACATTTCTATTCAGCAGCAGTCTCCAACTACATATCTCATTAATTTTATATGATAGTCCCACAAAAATGTTGAATAAAATGCTCCGCAGGGCGCAGCTTGATACGACCGCAGAGGTCGAACCCTGAACAGTTGGGGCAAGTATGGACATAACATTCAAGCTTGATACAGCTCTGAATTTGGATTGTGATTAAATATTTGACACAGCATAGGTTTCTGACACAGAATGAATGTGGTCTAAGAACTTAAAAATTTTAAATTGGACATTCACCTATTATGTTCCAATATCCAAAATCTAAATACATGGTTAGATTCAGCATATCAAAGAACCCCAAGAATTCAATTTTTTATGAAATCAAACAAAGTTTAATTTTGGACCCCGATTTGGACCAACTTGAAAACTGGGCCCATAATCAAAAATCTAAATACATGTTTAGATTCAGCATATCAAAGAACCCTAAAAATTCAATTTTTGTTAAAATCAAACTAAGTTTAATTTTGGACCCTTTGGACCTTAATGTAGACCAATTTGAAAACGGAACCAAAAATTAAGAATCTAAATACACGGTTAGATTCGGCATATCAAAGAACCCCAATAATTCAATTTTTGATGAAATCAAACAAAGTTAAATTTTGGACCCTTTTGACCTCAATGTGGACAAAGTTGATAACAGGGCCCAAAAATCAAAAATCTAAATACATGGTTAGATTCAGCATATCAAAGAACCCCATATATTCAATTTTTGTTGAAATCAAACAAAGTTTAATTTTGGACCCCGATTTGGACCAACTTGAAAACTGGGCCCATAATCAAAAATCTAAATAAATGTTTAGATTCAGCATATCAAAGAACCCTAAAAATTTAATTTTTGTTAAAATCAAACTAAGTTTTATTTTGGACCCTTTGGACCTTAATGTAGACCAATTTGAAAACGGAACCAAAAATTAAGAATAAAAATACACGGTTAGATTCAGCATATCAAAGAACCCCAATAATTCAATTTTTGATGAAATCAAACAAAGTTAAATTTTGGACCCTTTTGACCTCAATGTGGACAAAGTTGATAACAGGGCCCAAAAATCAAAAATCTAAATACATGGTTAGATTCAGCATATCAAAGAACCCCATATATTCAATTTTTGTTGAAATCAAACAAAGTTTAATTTTGGACCCCGATTTGGACCAACTTGAAAACTGGGCCCATAATCAAAAATCTAAATACATGTTTAGATTCAGCATATCAAAGAAACCTAAAAATTCAATTTTTGTTAAAATCAAACTAAGTTTAATTTTGGACCCTTTGGACCTTAATGTAGACCAATTTGAAAACGGAACCAAAAATTAAGAATCTAAATACACGGTTAGATTCGGCATATCAAAGAACCCCAATAATTCAATTTTTGATGAAATCAAACAAAGTTAAATTTTGGACCCTTTTGACCTCAATGTGGACAAAGTTGATAACAGGGCCCAAAAATCAAAAATCTAAATACATGGTTAGATTCAGCATATCAAAGAACCCCATATATTCAATTTTTGTTGAAATCAAACAAAGTTTAATTTTGGACCCCGATTTGGACCAACTTGAAAACTGGGCCCATAATCAAAAATCTAAATAAATGTTTAGATTCAGCATATCAAAGAACCCTAAAAATTTAATTTTTGTTAAAATCAAACTAAGTTTTATTTTGGACCCTTTGGACCTTAATGTAGACCAATTTGAAAACGGAACCAAAAATTAAGAATAAAAATACACGGTTAGATTCAGCATATCAAAGAACCCCAATAATTCAATTTTTGATGAAATCAAACAAAGTTAAATTTTGGACCCTTTTGACCTCAATGTGGACAAAGTTGATAACAGGGCCCAAAAATCAAAAATCTAAATACATGGTTAGATTCAGCATATCAAAGAACCCCATATATTCAATTTTTGTTGAAATCAAACAAAGTTTAATTTTGGACCCCGATTTGGACCAACTTGAAAACTGGGCCCATAATCAAAAATCTAAATACATGTTTAGATTCAGCATATCAAAGAAACCTAAAAATTCAATTTTTGTTAAAATCAAACTAAGTTTAATTTTGGACCCTTTGGACCTTAATGTAGACCAATTTGAAAACGGAACCAAAAATTAAGAATCTAAATACACGGTTAGATTCGGCATATCAAAGAACCCCAATAATTCAATTTTTGATGAAATCAAACAAAGTTAAATTTTGGACCCTTTTGACCTCAATGTGGACAAAGTTGATAACAGGGCCCAAAAATCAAAAATCAAAATACATGGTTAGATTCAGCATATCAAAGAACCCCATATATTCAATTTTTGTTGAAATCAAACAAAGTTTAATTTTGGACCCCGATTTGGACCAACTTTAAAACTGGGCCCATAATCAAAAATATAAATACATGTTTAGATTCAGCATATCAAAGAACCCTAAAAATTCAATTTTTGTTACAATCAAACTAAGTTTAATTTTGGACCCTTTGGACCTTAATGTAGACCAATTTGAAGAAAACGGAACCAAAAATTAAGAATCAAAATACACGGTTAGATTCAGCATATCAAAGAACCCCAATAATACAATTTTTGATGAAATCAAACAAAGTTAAATTTTGGACACTTTTGACCTCAATGTGGACAAAGTTGATAACAGGGCCCAAAAATCAAAAATCTAAATACATGGTTAGATTCAGCATATCAAAGAACCCCATATATTCAATTTTTGTTGAAATCAAACAAAGTTTAATTTTGGACCCCGATTTGGACCAACTTGAAAACTGGGCCCATAATCAAAAATCTAAATACATGTTTAGATTCAGCATATCAAAGAACCCTAAAAATTCAATTTTTGTTAAAATCAAACTAAGTTTAATTTTGGACCCTTTGGACCTTAATGTAGACCAATTTGAAAATGGAACCAAAAATTAAGAATCTAAATACACGGTTAGATTCAGCATATCAAAGAACCCCAATAATTCAATTTTTGATGAAATCAAACAAAGTTAAATTTTGGACCCTTTGGACCTCAATGTGGACCAATTTAAAAACGGGGCCCAAAATCCAAAAACTTAATACACGGTTAGATTCAGCATATTAAAGAACCCCAAGAATTCAAGAATAAAACCCCATTGAAATTGATCAAGAAATAAGCAATTTATACGAAGTATCTTCTTTTGCACAATACTGTGCAATTGAATATTTCTTGCTATTGTGCAATACTGTACAATTGACAATTTCTTGCTATTGCGCAATATTGTGCTATTGGATATTTCTTGCTATTGCGCAATACTGTGCAATTGAAGATTTCTTGCTATTGCGCAATACTGTGCAATTGAAGATTTCTTGCTATTGCGCAATACTGTGCAATTGAAGATTTCTTGCTATTGTGCAATACTGTGCAATTGAAAATTTCTTGCTATTGCACAATACTTATTAGATAATAATTTACACATCCTGTTTGGTGTGTATCTCCTACCATATCATTATTATTTGCTTTTAAATATTAATCAGAAATAACCAACTTAAAATGGAAAATTTTAAAAGAAAAAAAAAAAGGAAAAAAAGAAAAAAAAAGAAAAAAAAAAAATCCCCCCCCAAATTTTTTGAACCCCCTTATGATTCATCACCCCCAAACTCAATCCCAGCCTTCCCTTTGTGGTATGGTACCTTGCAGTACAATTTCAGAGAGATCCATACACTTGAACACAAGTTATTGTCTGGAAACTAGAAAAATGCTTATTTTTGGCCCCTTTTTGGCCCCCAATTCCTAAACGTTTCGGGCAATTACCCCCAAACTCAATTCCAGCTTTCCCTTTGTGATATGGAACCTTGTAGTACAATTTCAGAAATATCCAAACACTTACACACAAGTTATTGTCATGAAACTAGAAAAATGCTTGTTTTTTGCCCCTTTTTTGGCCCCTAATTCCTAAAATTTTGAGGCAATTACCCCCAAAATCAATTACAGCCTTTCCTTTGTGATATGGAACCTTGTGGTACAATGTCAGAGAGATCCATACACTTACACACAAGTTATTGTCTGGAAGTTACAAAAATGCTTATTTTTGGCCCCTTTTTGGCCCCTAATTCCTTAACTGTTGGTACCATAACCCCCAAAATCAATCCCAACCTTCCTTTTGTGGTATTGAACCTTATGGTAAAATTTCATGGAGATCCATTCACTTAAACTAAAGTTAGAGTGCGAAAACCAATGTGTCTTCGGACGACGCCGGACGACGCCAGACGACGACGACGACGACGACGACGACGACGACGACGACGCCGGACGACGACGACGCCAACGTCATACCAATATACGACCAAAAAATTTTTAATTTTTGCGGTCGTATAAAAATTATGTGTACATTTAATTTTTTTTCTAGATTCTCTCATGTCATACATGTGAAAGCGGAACCTTTTTGGTCACTATTCATGTGTTGTGTCTAAATATGAATTGTAACACTTTATAGTGACTGACCAGGTCAAACAAATACTTCTCAAGAAACATGCAGAGAGAGAAGACAACTTGGAACAGCACCAGCCATGCCAGACTATGTATGAATAAAAACTCAGATCGGAATAGCATGGACGATATCTTTGTTATATGTCCTTGTGAATAGTAAGGAAAGCTATCAATAATTCTGCAGATAACGCAGTTTTATCAGGTTTATCGTACATTTTCTGTTCAAATTTTCTCACAATCAGTGAAATGATCAAAAAGGCAAAACTAACTTTTTATTACTAAAAATTTCAAACAATGACAAGTGTTTCATTCATGAAATAAATTGTGTGTTTCTGCGAAAAAATCATGTGCAATTTTGTGAATTAAAGGGAAAGAAGATTCTTTAGCGGTGCACTCACGCATGTCAATTGCAAACTGACCCAATATATTTTCTTTATCATGACCAGTTCACTGATACATGTACTGACGTCGACATTATCAAGAAGTACACATCAAAGGAAATTACCGATAAAATAATTTACACACCCTGTTTCGTGTGTATCTCCTGCCATATCAGTATTTGTTGTATTTATATATAAATGAGAAATAATCCATGTAAAAATGGTAAATTTTTAGAGAAAAAAACAAAAAATTATGGAAAAAACAACCCAAAAATGTTGTTTTTGACCACTGACTCCTAAACTGTTGGTACCATATGATAACCCCCAAAATCAATTCTTACCTTCCTTTTGTGTATTGAAGTTGAACCTTCTGGTACAATTTCATACATTGTCATGGAGATCCATTTACTTAAACTAAGTTATTGTCTGGAAACCAAATGTGTCTTCGGCGACATGATTGCATTACTCGAATGAAATTTTTGACATATCCCCTTATTTCCATTCTGAATTTTATTTTGCCGTCGTATAAAAACTTGAAAAGTAAGCCAATAAAACAAAATGCAAAAATGACATAAAACTGACTCTGAATTAGTACATGAAATTGATGTAGAAAGTACTAGAAACCCACAAACAGAAAATGATCAGGAATACATTTATACTGCTGAGCAGTGATCTCCCCTCAAATTTTAAATAGCATCCTAGAAAATAGCAAAATCTTTAGATTATCAACTTAACAATCCTATTTATGGTTCCTTATGCTTAGATCAAAATGAAAAACCTGATCAAAATATTATTCTAAACAGGCTCACTGTAAATTCAAACTCTTCTTTTAACAATCAGAATGATCCTCTTGCTGATCACATATATATGAGATGCAGAAAACTGGGAATACAATGTGAACATCCAGCTAATTAAGAAAGTAAAAAATAATCCAACAAACAGAAAGCGTTGTTTGCAATACTAAATAAAAAAAAACAGCTAAAACTTTTAGATATTGATGAAAAAGATATTCCAAATCCTCCCTCTTTTCATGAAAATCAACAAAAAATTAATTTAATAAAGTTATGGATTGTATAACAGTATTCATAGTTTTGAAATTAAACAAATGTCTTATTGTTTTAAATTATGTAAAATTTGCAAAGAAAGAAAAATGGATTTGAAAATGGCACAAGATAATGAATTTAAGCATTGTCATTTAGATACATCACCAATAAATTCATTTTCAGCAGAAAACAATATGGACAATAAGGGTGCAACCATTTAGCTTCAAAAGGGCGGGGGGGGGGGGTATGGTTTTTTGTTTGAGTTAGATTTTTTTTTCATGCAAAGGGCTTCAATGCTATCAATCAAAATTATATATTTGGTCAAAAATTAACACTAGAAGGTATGGGGATAATCTGGATTCAGAATATTTGTTTGTCCTCTGCTTGATTAATAGATTTTTTTTTTCATCAATTTGGGAGTTCAATGATCGTTCCCTTAACATTTTCCATCTGAACTTATTATTTTATTTTGTAGACAAAAACTATATGTAGGACATTCGTCCTGAACATGCATGAAATATTTGCCACTGAACATTAAGCAAACCAACAATTAATCATTATGTAGGACATAGTCTTTGTAAGCTGGCATTCAAGGTAGCGCCTTCCTCATATTATCATACCATCATAACATATATGAGAAGAACTTAACCCGTATCAGGCCAACAACTGGTTTTAGAATAAATGTGTTTATTTCCGATGCAAAGACCATATGAGTGAATCAATATTAATACCAAAATATGCAATCCTTAATGACTTGACAACAGTATCGTAACTATATCCTTTCGGAATAAGTCTGTTTAAAGGTTTGGTTAGCTTTTGAGGTGAATGCTGACATTTTTGTGCTTTGTAAAGAATATTACCATAAAATATTGGATGTGAAATACCTGAACGTATAAGATGTCTGCATGTTGATTTATATTTATGAATGATGTCCTTGTACCGATGATAAAATTTAGTAAATGTTTTGACTAGTTTGTGATATCGAAAACCCTGGTGTAATAATTTTTCAGTAATACAGAGATTTCTTTCGTTGAAATCAAATACGTTGTTATATACACGAGCGAATCGAACAAGTTGAGATATATAAACACCATAAGATGGCGACAAGGGAACATCACCATCTAAAAATGGATAATTAACAATAGGAAATGAAAAATCATCTCTTTTATCATAAATTTTGGTATTAAGTTTCCCGTTAAAGATAAAGATATCAAGATCCAGGAAAGGGCAGTGTTCATTGTTAGTATTAGCTTTATTTAAAGTCAGTTCGGCATGGTAAATCTCTTTAGTGTACATACTGAAGTCGTCATTATTGAGAGCCAATATATCATCTAAATATCTAAAAGTGTTATTAAATTTTTGAATCGGATGTTGTTTCGATGGGTCTTTGCTGATTTTAGTCATAAATTGTAACTCATAACGATACCAAGAAACAGGTCCGCAATAAGTGGTGCACAGTTAGTCCCCATGGGAATTCCGATAACCTGACAATATACAGAATCTCCATAGGGAACAAAAATGTTATCTAGTATAAATTTAAGGGCAGTTATAGTATCAAAGCAGGTCCAATTGACATAGTTCTTTTGTTTGTTGTTTTTAAAAAATGACCTAAAAGAGTTTGAACATATATATTCACATTCCGACTTTTTAAATGCCCATTTAATCAGGTGTGTGAATTTTTTCTTAATAAGATTATGAGGCAACGTGGTATATAGGGTAGAAAAATCAAAACTTTGAACAGATTCGAAATCACCAATATAAGCATGTAATTTATCAAGTACTTCTAACGACTTTTTGACACTCCAAAAGTAATTAATTCCACTATTTTCAAAGGCCTTATTTGAACAATTTATTACCAGGTTTTTGATTGTACCAAGTGTACTTGTAAGTAGAATAGATAGTTTCAGGTAAAAATCGATCATGCCCCGTTTGGTTAGTACCTTTATCCACTGTACAGTACTAATGCTACACGTTGTTACAATACTTGGAGGTATTCCAGTTGGTAAAGTAATTACATGGTTGCAGTAGATGGGCAATTTATTTAATAAATGGAATTGATCACAGGTGTCAACAATGATATAAAATGATGATTAAAGATTTGACAGCTTTGGTTAAACACTTATTTAGAGATGATTTTCGAATTAATGCACTTTCTCGTACTTTTCCTAATTGACATTAAGTGTTAAATGGGAATTGTGGTAAAACAACCCAGATAGCTGATACATTGGTTACAGTGGTAACTAAACGTTTTCAATAGACAGGTTTCTGACAGAATGAACTGTTACAGTTGACTTGGTGTCATTCAGGACAAACTGCTTCATAGGATTTCTTTAAATGAAACCATTTGCTTTGTGAGTTCAATTTTATCCTGGAAATTCACTTATAATTGGAAACTCGAGAACATGGTGTCCATGGTGTCAGAGTATTGCCATTAATAGGCATTATTGGAAAAGAACACTATTAAGTCCGACAACCCTGTTATTTTTTAAAACATTTTTTCAGATCTAAAATTCAAACTGAATAGTTAAATGACATGGAAATGTATAAGTATAAAAAAATCTAAAACATCGGATTTTTTTTTTATTGTATGTTTGCACGTGTGGTGATTTTGCTAGTAGTTTTAGTCAGCATGCGGGCTGTCTTTCGCTTGAATGGGTTATATTTGGATCTTGTAGTAAAAAAAACAAGTCCATGAACACTTCTAAATTGAATCACAAGTAAAATGAGTGATAAACAGCTACAATCGGACCTGAATCTATCGCCAGATTGATAATTATCGTCTTCACCGTAATCGGCCATATTGGTTTAGAAAAACCGGATGTTCCGGTCAATAAGAAGAATTTTGCGATGCGATCACATCATACAACGTCGTCTGTCAAACCTTTGTAAAAATATATAAAACTTGGCTTAAAATTTTGTTTTCTTGTTCTTGCCCGAGACATACGTATATGAGCTCTCTCAAGATTGTGTTGTATAGTTTTATTAGGGAAAATATTTTATTAAATTGTGAATTAAAACAAGGAACAGAGAAACAACTTTTTTTTCTGTTCAAGATTTGTCTGATGAAGAACAGATGATGTTTATGCTCAATCAATCAACACTATCACTTGTAGCAGAGACATATAATACATATATGTCTCTGCTTGTAGTAAATAAATATTGGGGTCCTACATTAATAAGTCATTAGAACTTAGGACGGGGGAATCTGGACTATTTATTTAATTAAATAATTGTGTATATATATGTGAATTTAAGTTATATTATATACTTATTTAGTATTTGTCACAAAACTTATTGTTTAAAGTTTATACGGCTAAAACATTTGGATTGAAATTTTCTTATTCTTATATATACCATAGCAGTAGACCTCTGGCGCTTGGGGAAAAGAACCTCTTGTATGATCTTATCAGATATAAGTCATTTAAAAAAAATGTCGAATTTGATGCTATTTTTTAATTTTTAATGAAAAATGCAGTTTTAAGTGTGTAAATGAAAGTTTGTAGCATTTATGAGTCTAACATGATGTATATACACATCGATACTAAACCAGATTTGTATCTGCATATGCGGATCCAATTGTGTGGGTGGGGGGGGGGGGGGTGGGGGTGGGGGGGGGGGGGGAGCTATGGGCCCGGCCCCCGGCTATTTGTGGGAAAAATTTGGTTGATTATATAGGAAATCACTGAAGCATGACTATAGCGAGTCCCCTCTTATGGCATTATCCGGCCATTCTTGTTGCCTTGAAATCTGCAAAATGAACTATTCTAGAATGTTTAAATTTGTTCATGATAACTCTAACGAAAAAAAAACAGTTTCTTGATTATTCTATGCAACATTTTTTCTACAAACTAAATTCAATCGGCGTACATGTAATGTAGATGGGGTGGGGATTTGATGAGGTCAGAATATTTATTTCCAACTTTAAGGCGACCAGATTATTTATTTTCTTCTTGTCCAAAAAGTGACTAAAAAACTACTCCACATCCCAGAAGCAAATGGTCGTCCCCTTTACTAATTTAACTTTTATGATACAGATTACTTTTTGGTAGGATACACATTACATTGTCATGATTGCGATATCAAAATATAATAGCATAAAAATCAAGACGGATTCAGGGTGCTTGGAAATGGTTATCCAAAAATGGTAAGAAGTTGGCTGAGCGTAGCGAGGCAAAATATTCTTAGACGATTTTAAGCAAAAAATACATACATTTTACGGTCAAAGGGGTACGTATATCTATTTTCATGCGTGATAGCAAGATTATTTATTTCCAACTTAATGTGGGTCAGAATATTTATTTACAAAATCTGCCAGGCCCCTACCTCAGAATCAGATGGTTGTCCCCTAGCTTATCGATACCGTAGATTAACCGTTAAATTGTCTCTTCCAATGAATATAGAACTGTTCAGTGGTGAATTCAAAAGCAAAAAGCATTCTCAAAAATTATACACAGCACGTTGCCTGCATAACGGTGTAGAGAAAAGAAAATTAAAGAATTTAGTGAACAAAATAGGTGCGTACCCTTTTTTCCTGTCTATGCTGTTACCAACTGATTTATTAATTACAACAATATTATACTTGTAAAAAGTGCAATTGCGTGTTGGAAGCCAAGACCACAGAAGAGAAACATTATCACATTATACAAGGGAGTCGTTTTTTTCACAACAACGTTCATAAATATTGTCTATCCTGTTATGTCTATACTATTACTGTGGTTACTATATGGTACCAGTAACAGGATAGTCAATATTCAACTGGGAAAAAAAAGAATAATTACATATATATATATATGTTTACACATAATGAAATGTTTGGTTATTCAAACTAATGTTAAGCTAGCTTACAAAGTCTATCATCACAGTTTAGCAGACACAAAATGCAATACTGATATCGATAACCGGATTGGCAAAACGGGTAACAGGATAGAACTTACTTGACATATAGTGATAGATCGTTAACGTACGTTCCTCTTACCAAAAACAAAATGACAAAAGTAAAACAATATGCGATGGAATTACTTTATGTTGGGTTTATTAGAAAGAGAAAATAAAATATAGACATTATGAATTGCTATCTTAGACTTACGTTGCTGCTGGTTATTTTCATAACCTTCGAAAACTATTTTTTAGAGGTATTTCGCGGTGCAACATGGCAAATTGACAAATAATCTATCAATACATGCACAGAATAGAAATAATATATAGAATTGTTCACTCTTGAAACCCATCTTATTAGCCATGAAAAACAAGCTTAAAATTTTAACGAGATCTTCAAGTTCTATATATATAAATAGCTGAAAATTACTTTTTGAACATGGTAACAGGAGAGACAAAATGATTGCACCAATTATCGAAAATCTTTCAATAATTTCTTGTTTGGCATAATCAAGATTTCATGTTTTTTTTATATTTTGTTCTAAAAGTGTTCTTTGTTTTGAATTGCTTATAAAGAGTAGGTTAAGCTAGCTATAAAACCAGGTTTAACCCACCATTTTGTTTTCGGGAAATGCCTGTACCAAGTGAGTTGTTTTTCACTTGTTCCGATGATTGATAGCGTTTGATTTTGTCAGTTTTTATGGACTTCTCCTTCTTGAATTTGCCCATTGAAGTTCAGTATTTTTGTTATATATTTGTTTAAACTAGTAAATTTTATTCGATTTTGCCCGCAATTTCAAAATTCGACATTTTTTTTAAATGACCCATATACATGTATATATACATGTAAGAGTCTATTGAAAACAACCAACCAGCAAATTTAATACGAATGAGTTCCGTTTAAATTTGTGTTAAAAAAGAGCTTTCTGATTCATACAGGTAATCTTGCCATGGACATTATCCAATTTAAAAAAAAAATCTATTCAGTTACGCTAATTAGTATGGGAAGTATGCTAATGAAAAACGGATAACCGTACACGTCTATTTAGTATGGGGATGGAAACTTAAATTACACAACCACACGCCTACTAAGAATTGATTAAGAAAATATACATAAATAATAATAAATTTTATTTTATTATTGTGTCACATACTGATTGAACATTATACAATAACATAATAAAAATATACATTAAAACAATCAGTACCCAGCCATAAGATTGCATTTGCTTTGACTGCTCATATGATTAAAATAAGAATTATATTTTGCAATACTAGCTAACATACAATTTCTATCATCCTCAAATTTGTTACAATCAAATAGAAAATGAGCCTCATCTTCGACAGTATTGGAAGAACATTTATTACATATTCCGTTAATTCGGGGAATACCCTGATATTTGGCTTATGAGACACATATCTACAAAACATTTCACATTTATATATAATATGTAAATATAACATTTCCTAAAATTTGTATTTTGTACAATTTCAAAAAGATTTATCATTCAAATAATTACAAATTCAATTAAAAATTCATTTAATATATTAAATTATAAATTATATAGATAAAAATTATTATTTATTTCATTTAAATATCAAATGAATTTAAAAGTAGTAAAATTTAAAGGTTACTAAAACTATAAAAATTAGTATCTCAAACTAAAAATAACTTTCGTCTCATAAAAAAGTTAAAAATACTCTTGTTTAAAAATGCTTGAATTTGAGGACAATTCATCATTTCAACTAATTTCTGATCATCGTCTAAAATAGCAAAATTTTCAATATAATTTGAACATTCAGAAAATAAAAGCCATCTCAAGTCATCATAAAGAGAACAGTTTAAAAGGAAGTGTTTTTCAGTTTCAACACAATTGTTCGTACAAAGCACACAAAGTCTGTTATGAACTGGAATTGGCGGCCTGGCATACCTCCCGGTTTCGATGGCTAGCGGTAGCGATCCAGCGCGGAACAGAGCCATAACGCGTTTATGTTGTCTAGGTATTAACATTGCAACATATAGTTCAGTATTTCGTTCCTGTTTAAATTGTCTATAAGTACGTAGTTTATTACCGTTTTGGTGTCCACGGTCATTAAAAAGTTCGTTATACCATTCATCATTGTCAAGAAGGTTGATCTTCTCGGTTACAGTTATACCCAAGAATGAAGGACACTAATGGTCGATTACCCTTATCAGCGACACCCGGGGTGCAATGTTTTTAATGATGTTCGATTAACATAGAAAGTAATGGGAAAATAAATGGGTACCCTTCATTAATTCTTCATATTATTTTTATTAATCATCTGAATTCTTATTAACACATACGACCGAATTCTACATAGATTTACTTTTCTGGTGGTATAAAAAAAAAATCAGTTTATCTTATCTCATTTATAGGTCTCCGATTTTTTTAAATTTCATTATCTAAATTCCCTTACTCACATCAGTAAATAACGATGAATTACCTCAAAAGAAACGAGGCAGCAGTAACTAAAAAAATTGAAGCACACTTAATAAGCAAAGGAAATACTATTAACACATACTGTTGAATCCTCCTGTCAAAAAACTATATGTTGATGTCAGAAAAGTCAGTTTAAATTAAGAAATTCTTAGGTCTCCGGCGTTTTGAAAAGTTGTCTTTGAAAAAAAATAACCAACACAAATGTAATATACGAAAACAACGTACATTAGCGAGATCATACTGTTATACATGTAATTTAAATAAATTCCAGTTGTTCTTAAATAAATGAAATAATACATAAGAAGTTCAAATTCAAAGTGTTCACTGCGGCTATTTTTATTGTTCAAATAGAAACGATAAATATTGAATACAAAATATTCGGCGAAACGTATTTAATGATAAATGATAAAGTATACATTTACATTTAAATAATAATATACGATTCGCTGTTCAATTTTTTTTCTCACCCGTACAACATTTTTC